AGTGCACGAACTTGGTTACTTTAATAAAGTAGATTGTAAATCTACCAAATATCAACAAATAATGCATAAAAAAACGTTATTTTCTCACCAAAAGAAACCCACCGATTAATACTTGTCGACGCTAATTATTTATAATTTTTTTTTTTAAATTATAACTCACTTCGAGTATAAAACTCACATGACTTTACTTTTAATTTTACTATCAATATAGATAGTATTTCGTATATTTTTTCTCTTAATTAGTCAACGTGGGACTCGTCCCAACCATCTATAATCGGTTGGATTATGTCTAGGATTAATCTAATAAAACCAACAAAATTAAGATAATGACAAACAATGGAGTTCCATTAATTTGGGCTTTTTTTTCAATCATTTTTATTTCTAATTTCCCAAAAATGGGTCATGTGAGTTTTGGGCCCAAATTGGGCCATAATTGAAATATGACGCAATATTGAATTTTAGAGATAACTCAAGCAAAATAGAAGGCCACTAGGGTTAAGACCAGATTAGTTACGTAAATATCAACATTACTCATAAAAAATATATTTTTATAATAATTAATCAATAAAATAAAATAAATAAGTAAATTTATATTACGCATTAATTAGTCTTTAATACTCAAAATTGAATAATTTACTTTAATACGTCAAATAAAAATTATTTAATAAAATATTAATAGCAAAATAATTAAAATAATAGAAGATATTCATTATAAGTGTATTAGTTAAAATTTGTCAAACAATCGTATTAACAATTAATTAAAAATAATTACGGGACCGCGTTTTTATGTGTCTCGTCCGGTCTGACCTCACAGTAATTACGTTGGGCGTGCAGACACCGAATAGAATCCGCCGAATGAAAAATCCCTTTCTCTTGTTTACTTAAAAATAACTTGTGTAAATTACTAACAGAGTTTTAATCCAGTGTCCGTGCGCCTGACGTGAGGATCGTGAACACACTGACACGTGTCACATGAACAAATTTTGTGAACAGCTGCGAACCACGTCAGGATTTAACATTACGGCCTGGCGCGCCCGCGCCCCCTATTTTCCGTCCAACTTCGTAGGAAAAAGGCTGTACACAGGCTGAGGTGAAAAAAATGCGGAGATGGGTGAAGGTGCAGCTCCCTCCCTTTCACTTCGCTCCTCAGCTCTAATCCATGGTTACCCATTCAAGTTTCAGGTTCCTCTCTCTCTTAGCGCTCTCTTCTTTTGCAGAACGAGCTTATTTGCTTTCTACTTTTGGTTCGTTAATGGCTGCTCAGTACTCTTTTAGGTCGTCTTTGGTCCCATTTTTGGAATTGGTTAGATTGATTTGATTATGCTTTTTTAATTTGTGGTGGGAAGGGTTGGTTCATGTTTCAGTTTGTTCGTATTTGTTTTCGATGAAATTGAATTACGTCTGTTGAATTTTTATATTCCTAGGCTGAATTTTTATCGTCAATTAGTGGTTTTCTGAAGAACTCGTGACAGATCGTCAAGTAGTGATTATGTTGCGAGCAAAGCAGATTGACAGTGTTTCAAACCGGGACAGATCATTTTTTTTGTGGTGTTACACAAAATGGGGTGATCTGTTGCACTCGATCGATCAATTCAATTTAATCCATATGGTTAGGTTTGAGTTATCAAATAACTTAGGTTGGGATAGGTTCAAATACAAAACTCTATGAATTGAGTTGATTGGTAGGGTACTCTGTAGCGTGGGTTGAGCGGAACTAATTCAAATTTATTTTATATTTTATTTTTGCTTACAATAAATTATATGTACATATATTTAATTTTATAATGATTTTTTTCTCTATTTGGAAGGTAGTTTTTCAAAATATATATTGAAATTAAGTTGTAAGTCTTGACTCAATATTTGGAAATAAATAATGATCCTAACTGCCAAATGTTTTATAGTTAATTTAGGTATGATTTATTATTTAATAAGGTTGCTGAGGTTGAAATTTTGTTTGGAAATAAATAATGAACTTTAACAACCTGAACTAATCCAATCCTTAAGTTAGGTATGATTCATTATTTAAAAGGGTTACTTACGTTCAGACTCGTACAATTGGGTTGGGTCTAAAAAATGTTCCGCACTCAACCCGTGAACATCCTTTGTTTTTCTTAGTAGATCACAATGTAATGCACACGGGTCTTCATGCACATGCCCTGAATACGAAACTTGTGTTTCCCAGGGACAAAATGGTAGTAGTGAAATCCTGCACTCACAAAAGCATGCACCTTGATAGCCAATAGTTCAGGAAGCTTTAATTGCAGAAAATGCAACAAAAGTAATTATGTCTCATGAAACTGACGACGTTGATCTCTCGGTTTCCATACAACAAGTTACAAACACCGGCCCCAATCTCCAGAGGGGAACAAAATGTGTAATTTATGCCAGTAGCCTTAACTCTGTTTTGGATGATGAGTGCATTTCACCAAATATTGACACTCAGATTGTTAAGATGGGTACTATGGTTGTGAGCTTCTTCTCTGACTTTGTGAATTTTAAAGTCCCCTTATCTGACTATGATAGAACATTTAGCTCATTTAAAATTTGCATGGTTGATCCTGCCCGGTCCATTTCTTCTGTGAAGCCTTAAAAAATCAAACATCTAAGAAGAGAGAACATTCCTATAGATTTTAAGCCTCAAAGTAGTAGTAACCATCATGGTCCAAATTGCAAGGCTGAGCAATTCAATAATTATGTTAAAGGCTCAAAGCAAGTTCCAGAGGCTAGGAAGCGAAAGTCAGTGGAATTTCATAATATCTCCTCAGAAAATTGTGATAAATTAAAGGACTATACCTAAGAGAACAAGAGTGTATTCAAACAGCTTTGGCCATAGGTTCATAGTTCACAAAGTCTTCCAAGAATTTGAAAAAACTTGCCAGATAATTTTAAAAGCTCAATAGGATGAAGCCAATCGCTCCACTGTTTTTTAATGCCCCATATGTTATGGAAAGTGTATTTTGCGCATTGCAACAACTTAAATGGGCCCTGTTTCTGAAGAGGCTATTGGAAAATTGAACGATTCAATAGATGCCCAACCAAATTCTATGTGGGTAGATGACCGCTCTGTTTCTCTTGTTTTTTATTTTTTAGTTTTTATTTTTATTTTTATTTTTTATTTATTGATTGAAGCGCATGGCTAGGTTTAGACATGATGGACACACTTGTACTAGTATGATTGGCCTCCTTAGTTGTGCCAAACAGTTTGGTGCAATAAATAGACTGCTTTATCAAATGATCAAGGATGGGTGTCAGCCCAATGTTGTAACATGTAATTGTATAATTCATTGTTATGGTTGTGCAAACTACTTGCAAGAAGCTGTTGATGTATTCAAACAAATGCAGGAAGCAGGGAGTGAACCTGATGGAGTCATCTACTGCACGCTCATTGACATTCATGCTAAATCTAGCATTCTTGATATTCCATGGGAATGTATGAGAGGATGCAAGAGGCTGGCCTCACTCCGGATACATTTACTTACAGTGTTATGATCAACTGCTTGGGGAAGCTGGCCATTAGAAGTTGCATATAGGCTATACTATTGGATGGTTGATCAGGGTTGTGTTCCAAATTTGGTAACCTACAATATCATGATTGCTCTTCAAGCAAAAGCAAGGAATTACAGACATCCAATAGTCGAGCTTTGGGCTAGATAAATTGACTTGCTGCATAGTTAGGGAAGTATTAGTCCATTGTGATTTACTTGAAGAGGCAGAAGGTATTTTTTTTTAGATGCAAAAGAAGAACAGGGTTTTCTATGAACCTATTTATGGTATGGGAATGATACCATGCTACGCTTAATGCGGGTTTACAACCCAACGTGCCTACTTGCAGTTCCTTGCTTAGCGCCTTTCTGAGGGTACACCAACTATCAGATGCCTATTACTTGTTACGATCAATGCTGACTTTTGGTTTAAACCCTTCTATACAAACTCATGCCTTGCTTCTCAGTTGCTGCACTGAGGTGCAAATGAATGACATGGGATTCTGTTGTGAACTCATGCAAGTCACTTGTCACCCAACTCACACATTCCTTGGTCGAAATGTGCGAGATCACATGAACAATTTTTGGACCTTATGCTTCTTTCAGGTGTCTGCCACTTCGGAATCGATATTGTAACTGAATGGGGATGGCGATGCAGGGTCGCTAGATCTTCTCTAGTGAGGCAGGCAGTCCAGGACACGCTTAGCATTTGTATCTTACCTTTCTGGATGTTCTGGCGCGGTGTAGGGAGCCTCTTGGTAGAGATGGTTGCACCAATCTTATGTGGAGAGGAGGCATTTGTTATAGCAATACCTCTTCTAACTCCATCCTAAACTTCATATCTTTACAGCCAAAATTCAGTTCCGTATGAATTGTATTTAGATTACTTTTTGGATCAGTCAGATATGGGAAGAAATCTGTCCATATTCAAGTTGGAAGCACAAAAATTAAGCTAAAAGCTGTGGAGTTTGGCTATTTGCTAGTGATTATAAGGAAGGAGGTTTTAACTTTCCCAAAAGGAACTATTTTTTGATTTGTAGCAGACAATTTTGTCTTTTCCATCGTGGGCCACTTGCGCAAAAGATGGAAGACAACTTCTCTTAATGTTGCTTTTTTTATTGATTTTCTTAAATTATGAAATTCTTAACTATTTACTTTTTTTTTCTACAGGTTATTTTATCAATTTAGGGGGGGGGGGGNGGGGGGGGGGGGGGAAACAAAATATATTTTCTATTAATTAAATTATGCTAATAAATCTCATATTTTCAGGTAAAATGAAAATATTTATATAATTAAATATGCTTAAATAAACAGTGAGCGACGGCAATGACAGAAGTGGTCATAATTTTGGCTGAAAATAATGCATATAATAATTTTTTTAGAATAATTATAAATAATTTACTTGTGGTTTAAGACTAATTAAGTCATAATTATGAGTTTTAATCTTAATCAGAATCCCCAAAGAGTGCAAATAAATACGTTTCTCCGCCGTAGTCCACTTTCGATGCAATTGTTTTCTTTACTCTCTCCCTCTTCGATGGGTATGTGTCTGTGCGTCCACAAAAACACACAGACCACTCTACTTGATTCCCCGCCTAATCCATTTTGCGCCTTTTGATTTCTTTGACGATCCATCTTCTTCTCCGGTGACGGCAATCTTTCTGCATTACCCGCCACCGGAATCTGTACGTGTACGACTGTGTCCCCTTCCTACATCTTCTTCTACCTTCAATCTACGAGTTAGTTTCTTTTACTCATTCTTGTTATTCTTGGTGTCTTTGCTCATTCTTGTTATTCTTGATGTATCGGTAGACGCATGTGTAAACTTTTCTATATGCATGTCCATTGGATCACTATAGAGGTTCTTGATGGGGCGCAAGAAGAAAAACATTGATCCGCGTTCTAAACAATCTCCGTCGGTTCGTGGAGTCGCCGTTGATGCTCCGAGTTTACCAAACGCCGCCGACAAGAGTTCAATACCTGATAAGGCAAGTAGTAACAACCAAAGTAGGATCGAGTCGGTGTCTGTCAATGAATCGGATGGCTTCTCTTATTCCACAATTAAACTCGAATGCGAGCGGGCTCTTAACGTGCTTCGGCGCGGGAACCACTCTAAGGCACTCAGGCTTATGAAGGAGTTGAACTCCAAGATTAATAACTCTGTTCACTCTGCATTGATTCATCGGGTTCAAGGTACTATTTGTGTCAAACTAGCATCGGTTATTGAGGACGTGAATACGAAGCAGCGGCATTTGAAGAATGCGATTGAGTCTGCTCGTAAAGCAGTCGAGCTCTCACCAAACTCGATTGAGTTTTCCCATTTTTATGCAAATTTGCTTTACGAGGGTGCAAATGATGCTAGGGAGTACGAGGAGGTGGTGCAAGAGTGTGAGCGGGCCCTTGGCATTGAAAATCCAATCGATCCCGCTAAAGAAAGCTTGCAGGATGAAAAGGATCAGAAAATACCTACTCCAGAAGCGCGAATTACACACGTTCAGACTGAATTGAGGCATTTAGTTCAAAAATCAAACATATACTCGATATCATCTTGGATGAAGAACTTGGGTAATGGGGAGGAGAAATTTAGGTTGATTCCGATTAGAAAAGTGACCGAGGACCCAATGGAGGCAACGTTGGTTCAGGCTAAGAGGGCAAATGAAATCAAGAAGGCAACGAAAACGCCTGAGGAGCGAAGGAAGGAGATTGAAGTCCGTGTTGCTGCTGCAAGGCTGTTGCAACAGAAGTTTGAGTCGCCTCAAATGCAAAACGAAGGAGGTAAAGCTGATCGGACCCTGGATTCATCTTCAGGGTCTAGTACAAAAGTTGGTGAGCGGCGAAAACACGCCAATGTGCGGAAACATGGCTCTTCACGTGAAAGTAGGGATTGGGTTTATTCTTTTTGGAATTCCAAGAGTACAGAATCAAAGAAAGAGTTGCTTAAGATCAAGATAAGTGATCTTAAGACTCATTTTAGTTCTTCAAAGGATACCTTGGCAAATGAAGTTATTTCAGAAGCTGTGTCCTTTTATGATGCCAATAAAACATGGAATTTTTTGGTGTGTTGCAAATGTGATGAGAAATTTGTGTATCCGGAATCCCATATGCATCATGTGCTTCAAGAGCACATGGGTAACCTTTTGCCGAAAATGCAATCTATCATGCCACAGAATGTTGACAATGATTGGAGTCAAATGCTTCTTAATTGCTCTTGGAAACCATTTGATGTTTCAGCTGCAGCTAAAATACTCATAGGTCAAACAAAATGCAATGACTCGGAGTTGGTTAAGGATATCGGCTTACAGCATCACTCAGAATGTGAAGAGTCTCTCAAAGATGCATGTGATTCATCTCCAGAGAAGCATAATCATGGGCATGGTTTAAATGAATTCAAGCTTTATGAAAAAATTAGCAACAGCGGATTTGCATTATCTGATAGTTTTCCAGTATCTGATGACTCTGAGCGAACTAGGCTTCTTGAAAAAATTCATGCGGTATTTGAGTTACTCATTGGACATAAATGCCTTGCTGCAAGCCATCTAAACAAGGTGATACAATTTGCAATGGATGAGTTACAGGGCATTGTTTCTGGATCTCATTTTCTAAAGCGGGGTCTGGACCAAACACCTCTATGCATTTGCTTTCTGGGCGCTTCTCAGCTTGGAAAAATCCTCAAGTTCTTGCAAGAATTATCTCAGTCTTGTGGTATTGGTAGATACTCTGATAAAAGTACTGGTCAAGTTGAAGATCCAGAGAGTGATAAACAAGCTGTTGATGTCAAAGAGAAAGTTGTTCTCAATGGAGATGCGTCACTTCTCCTCCTAAACGAGTGTTTTCTGTCGTCTGATATCCCTCATGCCAATGATCAGGTTGCAGCCACAGATCATATGCCTGCTGCAACTGTTAAAGATGCTACTGCAAATGAGGTTCTTTCTGATGTCGATTCTTTCCTATCTTGGATATATGCAGATCCCTCTAATGGGGAACAGGTAGCATCATGGACAAAAACAAAGGAAGAAAAGACAAAACAACAATTGGAAATTTTTCAAATGCTTGAGAAGGAATTTTACCTTCTGCAGAACCTTTGTGAGAGAAAATGTGAGCATTTGAACTATGAGGAAGCGTTGCAGTCAGTAGAGGATCTATTCTTTGAGGAGAGCAAGAAGGAGGAAGCTACGGCTGAATTTATCCCCAAGAGTTATGTGTCAGTCCTGAGGAAGCGAAGAGAGGAGCTTCTTGAGACTGAGAATAATGTGATGTATATCGGCAGTAGGTTTGAGTTAGATGTTGTAACTAATATTTTGAAAGAAGCTGAAGCTCTGAAGGTTAATCAATTTGGATATGAGGAAACTGTTGCCAATGTGCCTTCTCAGTCATGTGATCTGGAATCTGGTGAAGATGAAAATTGGAGGGCTAAGGGTTATTTGCATCAAGTTGATACTTGTATAGAAATTGCAATAAAGAGACAGAAAGAACAATTATCTATTGAGGTATGATTATCAATTATGGTTGCTTTACATATAGGTATTTGCTGTTTGCTCATTTTATTTGATCATGCAGGTTAGCAAAATCGATGCACGTATCATGCGGAATGTTTCTGGAATGCAACAGATGGAACTTAAGCTCGAGCCTGTTTCAGCACATGATTATCAATCAATATTGTTGCCTCTTGTGAACTCATACTTGAGGGTCTGTGTCAATTAGGTTAATGTTAACTAATATTCCTTGAGCCTTTTGGGACTAAATGATGGATTCAAATATCAAATTATAATATTCAGGCATATTTAGAAGATTTGGCTGAAAAAGATGCTACGAAGAAGTCTGATGCTGCAAGAGAGGCATTTTTAGCTGAACTGGCACTGGATTCAGAAAAAGGTATCAAAGGAGGAAGTGATAATTCGAGACATGCACATGAAAAGCCAAAGGAAAAGAAAAGGAGCAAGGAGTTTAGGAAATCCAAGGACTCTAAGGTTGTTTTGTCATTTTACCATTAGAAGTTTAGGTTCACGATTTTGTTGTTTTTGTAACTTAGTTGTTCCTGGTGATAATGATAGTTTAATAATTTTAATTCTGCAGGTGGTCAGTGGTCCTGAGCAGAATGTGCTTCATGATGGGGCTGTCGATGGAGTGTAAGTATTACTGTTGACTTCCCCACTCTCTGGGACCTATTAATCACTTTTAGGCATTTGTTTTATTATAAAATCATGAACGTCTGAAATCTTCTAGCTAATTTTCTGTTATTGGTGGATGGTTTGGTCAATAACTTGTTGCAGTCCCGTTCAAGTTTCACCTGATGGTGATGTGGCAAAGGTAGACGTTGCTGCTTTTGAGAACTCTGATGCTTTAAGACTACAGGAGGAAGGGCTTAGACGCAAAATTGAGCTGGAAGCAGATGAAAGAAGGTTAGAAGAGGCTCTGGAGTATCAAAGACGGGTTGAGAATGAGGCTAAACAAAAGCTTCTGGCTGAACTACAAAAGAAATCTGCCCAGACAAATCTAGAGGACAAAGTTGCTCTGGCAGAACATGATAATCCCATTGAACTCGTCCCCAGTGTTGAGGGTGCTGAAGAGCATTTTAAACCCACTGTTGTGGTAAATGTTATTTTCTTCGTCATTGTTTTCCTTCTTGGTTATTTTAGTGAATTATGGAACTCCCTAGTTCTAACATGTATCCAACATTCCCGGCTATTTTAGGATCAATTGGCAGAAAGTGAATCGATTCCCGGCTTGTCTAGGAATTTTCCTGCAATGCCAAATGCTGTTTCAGGTGATTATAAGTTAGTGGTATACATTGATGGAAAGTTACTTGGCAGCAAGATGCTGTGGCTTTTAGTGTTGAGTTCATCATTCTCTTTTTCTTTAGCAGGTTCATACAATGCAGGAATTGTAGAGAATACCCCACCGCCTTCTGATAGGAAGAAGGGGAGGAAAGGTAGACGACACAAGGTTGCAATCAAACGAGTTGATGGAAATCAGCCTTCACAATCTTATAATGATAATGTAGCCTTTGACAACCAATTGAATGAGCAAGTCAGAGATCATGACAATCTCGTAGTAGATAGTGGTGAGTGCATATTCTATGTTGAAATTCACTATTTATTTTCTCCGCATTGATAAATGGGGTTTGTGAATGATGGATGTCCTGGGTTTTATCTCTTTTAAATGATTCATGCGAATAATGCTGGGCGTGGAAGCATAAACCGTTAATAATCAAAATCCATTTTCATAACTGATGAATTTTCATTGATCAAATGCCACAAGTTCTAATGTTCTGTTTTCTCCTGGACTTTTTCCCCTTAAGGTCTATTTGGAACGAAAGGTGTAGGTTATTTCCCTTAAGTACTAATTTGGAAAGAAAGATATGGGTTATTCCTCTTGAGGTTTAGTTTGGTATGAAAGATATAGGATTCCAATTGAAAGTAGTTTTTTCTGTCCCAAATTAAATTGCATTGAAAAAATAAAAAATTCCTTTTTTCAGGTCTGTAGTCAATTTCTCCTTGCATGATATGTTTGTGCAAATTTGTATTCTCTTGCTCACTTATTGAAGATATTGAAACTATTAAACATTAAATTTTGCCATTTGTACTCGATCAATTGCATTCCTGTGCAAATCTGCGGCATGAAACCGCTGTTCATCATCTTTTTGTTTAGACTGGACTAGCATTATCTTGTACCCTGATTCAATCAGTTAATCCACTCTCTGAAGAAAATGGCACAAAGACTTTGGGACAACAACATGCGGAGGATGATGAGGAAAGATTTCAAGCTGACCTTAAGAAGGCTGTACGCCAGAGCCTTGGTTAGGTTCCCTTCATGTCTTTTTTTTTTTTTCCCACTTTTGGTTGCACGCTTATGATTTTAATTTGGTTAATCTGTATTTGGCAGGAAACTATTAAAAAAGGCACAATTTTTTTTTTTATGGGATACCTTTTTTTGACAATCTTTATCTGTATAGATTTGCTCCTTTTTTATTTTTTTATTTATTTTTATTTTTATTTTTATTTTTATGTACTAGAGTTCCGTTGTCTCTCTAATATGCTTGATTAGTTGGAACCCTGGTTAATTAATTTTTTTATTATTTATTTCTTATTTTAATTTTAGACTCTGTAAGTGTTTAGTCCCCGTCTCGTGGTTATACTGAGTTCTTTGGATTCAGGATGTGTTTGTCTCAAAATGTTGCAATATAATTTTTTAATAACTAAAGAAAGCCATATAAAGTATTGTAACCTTTTCATTTTTAATCTTTAATCTGGTTTGATCTGGATGAATGATTAGATTTCTAGAGATTTCCTGCATTTATGGGCTCTTGTTTCTGTTTCCTTTTTTGTATGGTAACTGCAATATTATCTGACTATATTTTTAATGTTTGCTCAGATGCATTTCAAGAACAGCAGGAATTGCCCTTGATTACAAGTTCCAGTACACCATCGATCAGCTGTGGTGAAGTAGATGGTAATGATCTTCCATCAAATGAACTCAACGTAGAGAATGTGCAGGAAGAAGATGTATTTGGTACAGGACTTAAAAATGAAGTTGGTGAATATAATTGCTTTCTGAATGTGATTATTCAGGTGAGTGAATGACAGAAGAAGATTATATATCACTTCACTTTGCTAGATCTTTGTTCCTTTTTCTGCCTATGCAGTCTAAAAGGTTGTCATGTTCTACGTGAGCTCAGTCCTTATGGCATTTAAGACGGTTTCGAGAAGAGTTCCTGAGAAGATCTACGACTGAACATGTTCATGTTGGGGATCCTTGTGTTCTTTGTGCATTATATGAAATCCTTGCTGCCTTGAGCACGGCATCTGCAGATGCTAGAAGAGAAGCAGTCGCCCCCACTTCTTTGAGAATAGCTCTGAGCAATTTTTGTCCTGATAGTAATTTCTTCCAAGAGGTATTTTTGCATACCCCTGGTTTTTGACGCCTACATCTTTTAAAAAGAAAGAAAGAAAGAAAGCTCTATTACTCTCTACTTGATTTTTTGTAGTGTTTATGAGAAAATCTACAACTAATTTTTGTCGGTTGTTCAGGGCCAGATGAATGATGCCTCTGAAGTGCTAGCAGTCATTTTTGATTGCCTACACAAGTCGTTGACTCGTAGTTCGAGTGTTTCTGATACAGAATCAGTGGAAAGCAATTGCATGGGGTCGTGGGACTGTGCAAGTGACACTTGTTTGGTTCATTCCATCTTTGGTATGGACATTTTTGAACGAATGAATTGCTATAGTTGTGGCCTGGAATCTAGACATCTGAAGTACACTTCCTTCTTTCACAATATAAATGCCCATGCCCTTCGAACAATGAAGGTAACAGAATCTGCCTTTCCCTAGCGTTGACGATCATTCATTTTGGAACGGTGTTCTTTTATATTGTTTCTCTTATTCAATTTTCTTCACTATCCAGGTTATGTGTACAGAAAGCTCCTTTGATGAACTTCTGAATGTTGTTGAAATGAATCATCAGCTAGCTTGTGATTTGGATGTTGGTGGCTGCGGAAAGCTCAATTACATTCATCGATTTCTCTCTGCAGCACCACACGTGTTCACAACAGGTGATTTATATAATTTTTATCCGACTCCTACCACCCTACTTCCTCCTGCCCGTTACCCTTGATCTACTATTCATGATGTTTTACTTGTATGCAAATTTTTTATTGTAGTCTTGGGTTGGCAGAACACTTGTGAGAGTGCTGATGACATCACAGCGACATTAGCTGCTCTGAATACTGAAGTAGATATCAGTGTTCTTTATCGGGGTCTAGATCCAAATATTACCCATAATTTAGTATCAGTGGTATGTACTCTTCTTTCTTCATTCTTTGAGTGGTTTGGCGAATTTTCATGGGAATGTAGTGTTAATTTCTTATTCATCATGACCCGTGGAATTTGAGGTTACCTCATAGTCATTGATATTTAAAACATGTCGACCTGGGGTTTTGAATATTCCTGGGCATTCATAGACACGATCACCTGGGTTTCTTACTATTATGCATGACACGATCACCTGGGTTTCTTACTATTATGCATGACACGATCACCGTGGATTTTGTAGGTTTGCTATTATGGTCAACACTATCATTGTTTTGCCTACAGTCACGACAAGAAATGCTGGATAATGTACGATGATAAAACTGTTAAGGTAAGTTCTGACTTTCCTCTGCCTCTTTTTCTTTTTTGGGTGGTGTGTGTGGGGGGGGGGGGGTTGCTTTTTCTTTTTCCATCTTTTTTCTCATATGACATTAACTGTGCTCATGCTAAGGTAATTGGCGGCTGGCCTGATGTTCTTACCATGTGCGAAAAAGGACACTTGCAACCTCAGGTTCTTTTCTTTGAAGCTGTAAATTAGCGATGTTTTGGAACTTTCTCCTTAGCCGTACTGGTGGAAAGTGGTTTACATTTGATTTCTGTCTTGGCAAGGAGTCGTTTTAGAGAAGACTTGCCATGTACATCCACAGAATTCAGACAGTACGTATAAATATTGGTTTGTGAAGAAAATTTTGATCGGGTCATAGCATAGATCTTTGAGTTTTCTGATACAATCGACGAATTTTTTGGGAAGATCTGGCCCTCGAGGAGAAAAAATATTGTAAGTATGATAGATTTCTTCTAAATTGAGGGGGAGCCAGATGATTGGAGAGCCTAATGGGAAGATCTGCCCCTGGAATTCCTTTTTGGCTTTGATCCTTTAAATAAGGAACGATATTAAATGGGGTGATCTCTTGTTATATCTTACTTGAGAGGTGTCTTAGATGTTGTATAGTTCCAATTAAATGCGCTCAGGCCTCCAGCTATTGTCACTCAAATATTTTGTAATCCAGATTTTGGCGATGAATATGAACCAATCTTCAGGTTCTTTATTCTGGATTATTTCAAGTTGCTGAAAAATAGAGTCTGTCAATGCATGGATAGTTTTATTTAATAACGTAAAAGCATTTTCATTGAGATATAATATATAAGCTTTTGGTTTTGTGGTTCAAAAATTTGCAAACCATGGATGGATGGTTTGCACACGACAAGCATGCCGTGTATTATTTCCCATTTAATTTATTTATGTTTCACTCCAGACAAGCTCATCCTTCTACAATGTGCTTGGAAAGAATCGATCGATTATTCAAAATCAAGTAGAATTACAATACCCTGGTATTATATGAACCGCAGAAGGGACATTTATGGTACAACCAGTGGAATGCTGCTATTCCACGCTTCTCACAGTCATTGCACAGTATGACCTGCCAATTTCATCTATGTATCAGTCCACATTTTGGCTAAACGTTCAAAAGGCTTCAAATGGTGAAACAATGCATTCTTATCAATTATTAATTAAAGACGAACCTGAGTTTTCCCAGAATACTCATCTGGAATTTTCTCTTCAGCCAACAATGCATCCAGCATCTCAAAGTACACCTGCATGACAAATGGTAATTAAGTTACATAACCAAACAGACGGCCATTTACAATCATTTCTAAGCCATAGGATGTAACCAACCTGCATGTCTCCCAGTGACTTGCTACAGATAGGACAGGTATAATGTGTGTAGGTGTATTCCTATGGACAACAGAAGGTTATTAGTAAATTCATCGAGTGTTTCATCCTGTGCAAAGCTTTTGAGAGACAGAGAGGGTACCTGAAAACATGCTGAATGCATCAAATGGCCACATGGGAGGGACTTGACTGGAAGGGTGGAAGTGAAGATGTATTCGTGGCAAATAGGGCAGTTGTCTTCAAGGCACTTCTCTCTGCATACATGAACTGAGAGTGCACGGGACATGCAGGCATTGCAGTTCATGCAATGGAAGTAGTCAATCCCCAATCCCTTTCCCACTCGGCACAGGTTGCAGTATGGACAATGGTAGATATCTCTATTCAACAAAAACTCAAAGCTTTAATGATCCAATGCCTAATTAGACAGCTAGAAAGGAGAAAAGATAATCACATGAATCACGTCATTAAGATAAACATACCTAGAATCGTCAAATAGTTTGCAGATCTTGCAGAAATATTTTCCCATTGACAAATTGCCACAAGAGACAGTTGAACATGTCTTGCCAATAGGCTGAACTACCAAGCAGTTCATGCACATCATCTTTGTGATGGATTTTCTATAGATGAATGTCAAAATGATAGTGTAAGGACCTCTTTAACTAACTAAAGATATAAGAAGCAAACCGAGATCATGCAGGTCATTTAATTACCTATCCAACGAGTGATCGGTTGTCTCATCATGACAATGTATGCATGTGTGTAGTTGGTTGCAACATGGAGCTAGAAGCTTGCAGTTTCTTTTGTAATGTTTGCAACCAAATTCTTTCTTCAAAGAATCCTTATAGGATGGATACTGACCTGCAAATCCTTGGCTTTCCGTTGTAACGTTTGTCTCTAATTGGGTATGGTGCTTGGCATTCCAACGGCTGAGATGGTATCAAAATATTGAACTTTGAGTCAAATTTCATCAGCAGGTAGAAAGCACAAAAGCTTATTGTAAATAGAGACCATGGGAGGGGAAGGGGGTACTCTCCTGCCAACCACTAATCGAAATTGAACGAGCACTTCTTACCAACCTCATTAGCAAATTCTGTATCATATAGGATTTAGTTTTGGGGTCTAAGGATGAGTCTCTCGAGACCCTTCTTATTGCTGCTTCCAGATCTTCTTGACTAATTGTAAGAAGGTGGTCATGTTGGATTGATTTCTCATGTTCTTCAGGTCGTTCTGTATCGATCATATGTTCTGTTATAACATCAGCATCCCTATCAACATCCCCATGAGAAACAAGTTTTGTGCATTCTTCAAATGTTCTGTTACGTTGGCTGCCATCAAAATCTTTTGTTTCATCATTCAAGTTGAATATTACCGTCTTCTCGACATCGGTTGCATGCCATTGACCTTCATTCTGTTCTGAGGTGATGGGTTTTCCAAAAACATTTCCTTCACATTCATCAGTTACTTCCGTGGAAAGATATTTTGAGATGATTTCCAAGGGATCTGAAGTCAGTGAGGGAGTAGTAGTCGTCACCTCAGCTGTCACCCTCTCATGGTCATAACCTTCCCACCACTCTCTTAACCATTCATTGAACATTGTATTCCTTGTTACCTTGTGGAACATAGACATCATGTCATGTTGATCAGAAGGTGTTAAATATGCCATTTGCCAAGGTATCATATCTTGCAATATTTCAGCTTTTGTTCTGCCAAATATTGCTCCAATAAGCTTTTCTTGCTCTTCGATTGAGAAGAATTCTCTGAACAAGGGCCAAAGCTCAATTTCTTCACGATCAACGTGGTCAGAGAGCGACTTGTGCAGAGATTTGCACATATCATGGAGTTCCAGGCAGAGCTGCCGGTGACCAAACATTTTCCTATCAGTATTGCCATAAAAAATCGAAGCGTGCAATTCAGACATTTCATTAAGAATGAGGGATATTGTACTGAATTGGTGTACTTCAAGTTTATGATCAATGGAGTAGGAGTAGCTAATATTTTGGAACTTTCCCTTCTTCTCCAATGCTGGAAAAGCAATCTGGTCCTCAGCATCCGTATGGATTTGGTATAAATATTTTACCAATTGGAACCGCCTGATAAACTCTGTCAAGATCCCAACATTTTCAACCATCTTAGCCGAACCGAGAACAAAGTAATCCAATTCTTTCTTGAGAGCTTTGTGGAAGAAGAAAATGAGGTCTATTGGTTTTGGCTGATTAAAAGCAGAATGTGGGCGTTCCTCATAAAGATGCTTAGTGTAAGGACATGGCACCTTCACTGTTCCTGGAAAATGTATCTGCAGATTGATTCCACTAGAATAAGATGTTCCATACACTGAAGCAGTGCAAGAACCATCAGGCGAAGAATGTGACATGAAACCCTTGTTCTTGTTGTTGGAAAGTAATCCAATTTCCTCAGAGTTTGAGCCCTTATAAGATTGAACATTTGAGCTCAAGGATAAAGTTCCAACAACTCCCTTCGTTTGTTCCACCTGTCCATGCAACAAATAGCTTCTGGTTTGAAAAATTTTCTGCAATTCTTGTCCAAATTGTTCGACCGAAGTTTTGCCCGAGTAGCCAATTCGTAACCACTCATGTAAGAGGGCAACAAGCGCATTGTTGACCCGAAGATCTCCCTTCGATTTGGTGTGAAGTACAGATCTCATTTCTTCCTCAGATAAGTGAGTTGAAAACCAACTAACAATACACTTCAAGAGCCCAAGTGGCAAGGTGCGGAGGCTCATATACAGAAGCTGTTGCTGTGTTTTATGGCTGCAGCTCCTTCTAATCACTGGAAGCACCTGACAAATAGCTATTAAGAGTCAAACGGCAATTAAAAGGCCTGCAGGTTATTCGTTTTTGAATCAAAACTGAGGGGATGCCATTGATCAATGTTGTTCATTATCTCAGTAAAGTCAAAAAACTGACGAACGCAGAGTTCATACCTTCGTTTCTTGAAACGTGAACTGTTTGCTAACTCGGACAACAAACGACTCCATGTCCCAGCACAATTTTTCCAAAAAGTTGCTCAAAGGTATAGTGTCTTGGGCACCGTGCTGCAGCAACCGTTGTAAGGCTTCAATATGACTATCACTAAGAAATGCCTGGTCGGAGGAGATTAGGTATGCGTCCGAATATTGATTGAACACTGGACGAAAGAATTTCTCCATTGCCTTTCTGTGAACCAGAAATCCTCATAAGAAACACACAAAATTTCTAGGGCTGAATCTGATTGAGTATTGAGTGTTCGAAGGGAAGTTTTAGTTACCGATAAAAAAGAATTACATCAGCCAGGAACCTTATTTGGACAACCAAGGAATCAAGATTAGAAAGAGCTGTTGAAGTGCAGCTCTTGAGTTGGAACAGACATTTTAGAACTTCCTTCAGATCCTTCATAATGGCACCATGCCAGATGTGGAGGCTATCGACGGGGCTCTGTCCACTGTCCTGAGATGAATGCACCTTCATACCTTCTGCTTCTACATCTCTACAAGGCGCCTCACTGTTGCCAAGCCAAGACATTATCACCTTCACAAAGAAAGATTAGGTTTGTTATTACTGATGCTTTCGGTAGCAGCGACATGGAAAACCTAGGCAGTTCGCAGGCTACCTCTTGCAGAAGTTTCTCGTTCGGCACTACATCTCTTAGGCAGATTACGACTTCTGATTGTTGCTCCGATGGAAGAAAAGACATCATCCATGGCAGAAGCTCCTCCAATAGTATCATCGGCACACTGCAAATGAATTGCCACACAAGTGACGCCTGTTCTCTTGCAGAGAACTGTTTCATCAGCAATGGAAAAACCTGGAAATGGACGGTCGTATATATCGATGAACGCCGACTACATTAAATTAAGTAGATGAACATAAAAGGAAGAGGAACTAAAAAAACCTGTTGTTCTTCTTTGATCATATGCTGGCAAATGGTGGTTTGAATTGTGCCCAAACAGAAAACCAGTTCCTGAAATGGCTTGGAGATATCTTTGTTTTCTGCATTGATTTCTTCACAGTGTTCAGAAATGGAGGTGAAGAGGCCATCTAAGCTTTCATGCTCGAGAGAATACGTGGAGATTACATTTTTTGTGTGTAGATCAAGAGCTGGGAATACAACCTGCCATTTAATCGTATTATAACATTATTTGATGTTGATGAAAGTCACATTGATCTATGGAATAATTATGGTTTATAATTAGAGAATACGAGATTTTTTGGGAGCTGAAAGTAAGTTGTTGCTTATATTCAAAGTGAACAATATCATACCATTGTTTATAGTTGTCTTATATTTTTTCCTCTTTTAATTTTTTTTTTCCTGGAAAACTTATCCCAATTATAAAAGTAAAAATGGTTAATCATAATTTAATAATTCTTAGGGTTTAGGGTTTATATCGCTATTTATATTTTTTTTTGAAAAAACAATGGAAATATATATAAATTATTGTAACATTATATTACTCTAAAGAAACGAAGTCAAAATATTAAGGGACTATTTAATAATGATTTCATTTTTTATTTTCTATTTGAAAATGATTTTCTCTCAAACATTTACATTTTTAGCTAAATTTTTTATTTAAAAAATAAACCATTTTTAAAAAAAAATTTAACTTTCAAATTTTAACTTCAAATTCGAAAATAATTTTAAAAAGGAGATAAGAAATTAAAGAATTAGATGGATTAAAGAATTTTAAAAAGTGTGGAAAATATTATTTTCAAGATATTAAAAAAAAGTCTAGTTCAAATTTAGTATATTATAGATTGTTGGCCTAATTATAATTTTCTTATTAATAATGAGGTTTATTCTTGAAAAAAAGAATTGAATGGTTATGGGACAAAAAGGTAATTTGATTTGTATTTTAAATAAGTATATAAAAATTTGTAGAATTAATATTTGGAGGAGTATTGGCGCATAGATTACCAACTATTTTAGTTTTTAACTATCAACTAAATTTAAAATTATTAAATCATTTGATGTTTATTATTATTTTATCGCCTTAATCTTCCTCCACCTCGCTACATTTTTCCGACGTGGCTCCATTGTATGTCCACATTATCATATTAACTCACATATTCAAACTTAAATTAATTAATATGTTATTCAATTAATTGCAACATATTTATCAAAATAATTACGTGGACTATACTTAAAAAAAAAAAAAAAAAAAAAAAAAAAAAAAAAAAAAAAAAAAAAAAAAAAAATCACGTCTGATAAGTTTTTAGAGCAACGCCTAAAAACGATGAAAGTCAAAGTGGCGAATCCAGAAGAAATGAAATACAAAACATAACGCAAATTTTGGATCGCAGTTTTTACGAGTAACCAAACGATACGTATAAGTAATAGATGGAAACCCTTACCTCATCCTCGGCGGCGCAATGATACTTATAAGCAAGTTTCAGAAACTCAACTCTCCGAATCAATTCCGACACGAACTCGCAGCCATAACAGCCACTCTCCGCCGCGGCCAATGTCACGCGCCGTAAATCCGCAAGCTCTGATCGCAGCGCTGTGTGGAATTTAATAAGCACTAGAACCGGAGCCTGGGCCAGCGGAACATGTGAGAGTCCGGAATCGGAGTAGAAATCCTCCGGCGTTTCCGGCGTTTCATGATATTGATTTGCGTGGGAGGAGCGATCAAGAGAGGCGGCGGTGGCGCCGTCCATACAAGGAGGATAAAGGTCCAGTAGGTCGGAGGGTGAATCCGACGCCCATGAAAGAAGAGGAAGAGAGATTTGGCATCCGGAAGGAGGGAAGGGGGGAATGGTGGAGGTTTATGAAGGAATCTCCTCCCAAAGTCTTCTCTCTCTGTGCAGTGGAACTAAAATTTTTTTTAATGCGAGTTTTTTAGGTTTTTTAATTGGAGGCTTGATCGGTTCGAAAATGGATTGGTTGCCCACGGAAAGTGAGTGATGGAGACGTTGTACCTAACGCCCAACGGGCCAACCGCCGATTCCTTTTCCTTTCGCACCAACTACACATTTTAGAAATGTTCATTTAACTATGTTGGATGATAAAAGTCCCACACCCGCTAATTTAGGGAATGATCATAGGTTTATAAGTGAGAAATACTAACTCCATTGGTATGAGGCCTTTTGGGAAGCCCAAAGCAAAGCCATGAGAGCTTATGCTCAAAGTGGACAATATCATACCATTGTGGAGAGTCGTGTTCGTGTAACATGGTATCAGAGCCATGCCCTAAACTTAGCCGTGCCAATAGATTGGCAAATCCTTAAATGTCGAACAAAGGACTCCAAAGGGAGTCAAGCCTCCTCGAAGGTACGAAGGCAGTAAAAAATGACTGAGACTCCAAAGGAGTCGAGCCTCGATTAAGGGGAGGCGTGCTTTGTTCGAGGGGAGGTGTTGGATGATGAAAGTCCCACATCGGCTAATTTAGGGAATGATCATGGGTTTTTCAATATCATACCATTGTGGAGAGTCGTGTTCGTCTAACAAACTATACTTTCATCACAGAATTTAAGCTTATTATTATAATGTTTTATGTTTTTACTATAAAATAAATCATATTTGAAATGAATTATTTTTAATATCTATTACGCGAATTCAATTCCAATAATTTTTTTTTTTTTTTTGTGAGAAATTCGGGTAAATGTGGAAATTCGGGTTAAAACTATCTAATATTTTAGTTGAAATATATATTTAAGGATTAATTAGACGCACCTACTATATTATTTAATAACAAAACAACTCCAATTATAAAGTATATAATAATAGCCAAACATTTCTTTAAAAATAATACATACCAATTCTATTTAAAATGGCCCAGCGGAACAAATTGTTGGTGCCTCCCGTTTGATGTAATTTTATCTTTAGTTTAAAAAAAAAAAATTATATTTTGTTCCCAATTTATTTTATATGAGTTTCAAATTTCTTAAATAAATATTTAAAGTCAAAGTCAATTTAGTCTTTAAATTTTGTTTCCATTTTGAAAATATTTTAAATAAAACAAAAGAAATTCACAAAAGCTTAATTTAAAAAAAAATTCTTAACTAATTATTCATTAATACCTTTATTAATTCCTTTATAACCAAACCGTATGCTTCAAGCTTTGGAATATATATACAAAACGAATGGAAGGAAACTCATATCAAATAAATTATCATTTTACATTATATTTGAATCTGAACAGCGTTTTAAATTTAAATTAATTTTTATATTTCAAAACTTTTCATATGTTTTATTATATATTTACATTTTTCATTCAAATTTTTATCGGGTCAATTACGCTTTTATTCTTTAAAATCTCACCTCATATTTATTTTGGGTCATAAATTTTCTTTATCAAATTTAAAATGCTAACAATATAGACGTCAGATTAAAAAGTAAACTTTGACTCTTTTTATTTATGTTTTTTGTTAAAAAAATAAATATTAATAAAAAAATTGTCCCTCTTTGCCCTTTCAGCTTCCCCATGCTATACCCGGACTATTGGCATCATAGATCTTGGTCAAGGGCTTAAAATTTTATAACTCATATATAATATGGTTTGCAATAATGCATAATTGTATTTCTAAATTATAATGTAATTTTAGGAAATTAAATTCTTATTAAAATAAATTAAATGACAACTAATTGAATTTAGTCCAAATTATAACAACCACTTTTAATTTTTTTTTTAACCTATAGTTTTTAGTTTATAAACTCTTTTTTTACCCATTTAAAGTCGAACTTAAATTTATATAAGTTTTTTCTTTCTATTTCTAATATTTAGACAATAATAAATTTAAGGTGAACAAAATATTATATTTTTAGAAAAATTTATGATTTAAATATTACGAAAAATATATAAATTTGAACGGGAGTTCTCTTCGGGCACTGCTTTATTATTTAAGTAACAAATGTAGCCAATTATTCAATGTTCAATTAATCACTGATTTAATGCTTTAAAAAATAAATTAATCTAATTAATGAGACATCTAATTTTGAAAGTGTGGAAAACCACGTGCGAGAGAAGCGCGTGGAGTACATGTTGTCAATCATTTGGGGTTTGTTATGGACGTAGACTTTCTTTAAGGTAATTGATTTACAAAAATAATTAGAATAAACAAAAAAATGTCGGAGGAAAACTAAAAAGGGCTATGTTCATGCCGTCCGTACCTTGTCATCACGTGTGGTGGGGCCACGTCAGTCTTTGTCCAGATCTGATTGCGTGTGTCGGGGTGGCCTCATACGTGCTTTGCTCGTGCCTCCACGTGCCTCGCCTCCCATTTTCATTTCTATAATCCCGTTTTTTGCTTACATTTAATCATGTTACTTCTCTAAAGCGTGCTCTCCTCGCGTTTTATTCTTTAATTAAAATAAAATATAATTCTTTTAATAATTTTTTATAACAGAATCAAATATAATTTTTAATGTTTTAATTAATTACTGATTAGATGGGGCTACTGGCCCACCGGGTCGAACCCATTTGTATGTCCAAGCCCGTTTTCGCCTCTACTTGGGCTCAACTGTGATAACTGGGCCTGACAAATGAAGACAAATGTCATACTCCGACTCAAGACTTATCCTCCAAGAATATGGGAAATTTTCCGACAAAAGTCATACCAAAAAATGAAAATTAAAATTAAAAAAAGACCAAACATGAGCCACACGATCAAATCAATTCCTGACCTCATGTCTTTGGTGAACACGTATACCGTCTACAACACTGAAATGCTTCTACTTTACAACGAAGAACGAGAACCAGAAGAAGAACCCACCGCCGGAGATGGAAGCTTCGGGGTTTATGGCCAGTAAATGGATTGCAACGGCGTTTGCGATTTGGATCCAATGCAGCTGCGGTGCTGCCACCTTCAGCATCTACTCGTCGGCTCTCAAGTCCTCACAGGGCTACGACCAATCCACCCTTGGCACCGTTTCCGTTTTCAAGGACATCGGCACCAACGCCGGCATCATTTCTGGCTTTCTTTGCTCCGCCGTCACTTCCCCCATCCCCCGCCGACCCTTCGTTGGGCCATGGATGGTGTACGCGGCGGGAGCGATTCAGTGCTTCCTCGGATATATTTTTATGTGGGCCGCTGTCTCCGGACTGATCGATCGGCCGTCGGTTCCAGTGATGTGCTTCTTCATGTTGCTGGCTTCACATGCGCAAACGTTTTTCAGTACGGCGAATGTGGTAACTGGCGTGCACAATTTCAAGCACTATAGCGGCACGATTGTGGGCATCATGAAGGTACCAACTCAAACCCTTAGTTCTAAATCCTTCTTACCCTTATCGTATTATTCAATACCGTAGAGTATCTACTTTCCAATTTATGCTGATAATTACTTGGAACCATTCGTTTTGTACTGTTTCCCTTATAAAGTTCTCTGATCCAAGTCTTCGCTAGCACACAACCTCATGTTTATTCCGGTGTCTCGCTCTAATACCATTTGTAACACAATGTTTTATTCTCCTCTCCAACTAATAATGATCTCACAATCCACCCCTTCCGGAATTAGCGTCCTCACTAGCACTTAGTCCCATTTAGTCTCCTCACATGTAATCTCACAATCCACCCCTTCGGGAACTAGCGTCCTTATTGGCACTCAGTTTCATGTCTACCCCCTTCGAGATTTAGCCTCCTCATATATCCTCATATAGGATCTCACAATCCACCTCTTCGAGACCCAGCGTTCTCACTAGCACACAACCTCATGTCTACCTCTTCGGAATTTAGTCTCCTTGCCGGCACATTGCTCGGTGTCTGGCTCTGATACTATTTGTAATATTTCAAGTCCACCGCTAAAAGATATTGTCTTTTTTGGACTTTCCTTTCGAATTTTCCCTCAAAATTTTTAAAACGCATCTGCTATTGGGATCTCACATTTTGTATCTTGAATGTGTGCGCTTTTTGTTGGATAGGGATATCTTGGTCTAAGTGGAGCACTGGTAATCCAAGTTTATAATACGGTTTGCAATGGAGAACCAAGCAATTTTCTCCTCTTGCTGGCGGTTTTGCCCACACTTCTTTCCATCATGTTCATGTGGTTTATCAGAATTGACAGAACAGAGTCCAGAAACGAGAGGAAGCATTTGAACTCATTGTCTGCACATGCCGTGATAGTTGCTTTTTACCTAATGGCTGTCATCATTTTGGACAACACTTTCTCCCTTTCATCATCGACTCGTTCCTTCACATTCTCCATACTCCTAATTCTTCTTTCTGCTCCTCTTGGAATCGCCATTAATGCTCGGAGGGAGGACTTAAAAAGGACTGAAAAACCCCATGTTCTTAACAAATCTAAGTCAGTGGACACAGAGGATCTTGTTGAGTATCACGAGTTGCCCAGGGACGAGCGCCAGATAATGGCTGTTGCAAGCTCTAGCACCCCTCAAGCCATGAATGTCTTGGATGCTTTATGCACTATAAACTTCTGGCTGTTGTTTACAGCCATGGTGTGCGGAATGGGTTCTGGATTGGCCACAATAAACAACATGACACAGCTTGGCCAGTCTCTTGGCTACACAGTAACAGAGACGAAGACATTTGTTTCCTTATGGAGTATATGGAACTTTCTGGGACGTTTTGGAGCTGGTTACGCCTCTGATTATCTTCTCCACTCATACGGCTATGCCAGGCCATTGTTAATGGCAATCACTCTACTCATAATGAGCGGTGGGCACCTAGTGATCGCCTCAAGTTTCTCTGGAAATCTTTACGTGGGTTCAACTCTTGTTGGCATATGCTACGGCTCACAGTGGTCGCTCATGCCCTCAGTTACTTCGGACATATTTGGGTTAGAGCATATGGGAACTATTTTCAACGCCATAGCCACAGCCAGCCCTTTGGGGTCGTACGTTTTTTCTGTTAAAGTGATCGGTTACATCTACGACAGGGAAGGTGCCGGAGAAGATGGGTCCTGCTCTGGCACACACTGTTTTGCGGTGTCTTTTCTAGTCATGGCCGTCGTGGCTTTCGTGGGATTTCTGGTAGCTGCTGCTCTCTTCTTACGAACCAGGAGATTTTACGCTTTGCAAAGTAGAGCCGAACGTCTCAGTTGAAGTTACCAGAGAGAATGAGGATCACAAGATTGCTTATAGATTTTTATAGAATTATGGAAGGAAATTTGCGGTGTATTTTGTCTAAGCTTTTACAATATTGTATCTTATTTTATAATTTATTGACCCCACAAAATAATGTTTTTACCCATAAATTGAGTAAAAAATCTTAATTTTTTTAACTTTTAATGCTATAATAACCACATTTATATTAAATTTAGAATCGGAGACTTCCAGCTGAAACATCTAATGGGTATCAACAGTAGCTAGCGTATGGATTGAATGCACCAGTAGGTCACTTTACACCTTCTCCATCTACTACTATGCCACCGTTAATGATGGTCGTCGTGGGCCGTGGTTTGTTCACTTGGCCGGTGTAATTCAGTGCTTCTTGGGCTACTTTCTAACCTAGTCTTCCGTTGCTGGGGTCTTCCTTCGGCCGCCGGGTCTCGCTATGTGCCTTTTCACGTTGGTGGCTGCTCATGCTCAGAGCTTTTCAACACGGCTAACGTTGTCACTGGCGTTCGGAATTTCCCGAGTTATAGTGGGAAGGTAAATCTTCCCGAGTTTGAAATTCAATTAGCATGATTATGGGTAATTTATTTATCTTGAATACGTAATTTGGGCATTCAGCCCTAATTAGTGGTCACTATTGCCAACAATTGCACCTGAAATATTTGGTGGTACACGTAAATACTATATTCGGTGCCATTATAGTAGCAGGCCCCATCAAATCTTATCTATTTCCTGGTCACTGTTAGCTAAGTATTGGTGATATGCTGTTAATCTTCCTTTCTTGGATTGTTGTAGGTCGATTATGTTTGAACTCTGGAGGACAAACAATATTATGTGTTAGCATACCTGCAGAGGTAGGCATATGTGCATAATCATCTATATTTAAGTTCGTATTACAAGTACGAAAAGAATGATTTAACATTCTTAAGGAGGAAATGATTGAATTATAGTTCTTCTTGTGGAGTGATTTGGTCTGGCTTAGAGATGAAAGCGCTATTACATTAGATCGCATTGATAGTAAAAACTGAGATTGACATGAATACACACACACACACACACACACATTCACGTTCAAGTAACATCTTGAAGGACAATAAGGTTCAAGAAACGAGCAAGTAATTTTACCTTGGAGAAATTTCTACAGAAAATCCTGTATCTGTTGTGAATTTTGTATTTTGTTCCATTTATGGACATGTTAAATTTTCTTTTTCTGGGGAAAATGATGGATGTGTTGAACTATGCGTACAGTCAATTGGGTCAGGATAATGTGGAATCTTAAAGGATAGGATTTGGCTTGTGAGAGCTGCTTTGTTTAATTTAGGTGGACAATTTCATCTTTCCACCTTACGTTGGTCTAAATGTATGACAGAAAATTTTGTGCAAAATTTAGAAGTATTGTAGGTTGTATAATGAACATTACAAAACTCGAACTCAGTCTCAATGCACTAAGTGAGAAAACTTGAGTCTCATTGCTTTCTTCCAAGTGGGATTCAGCATCACTGGTCCACTGCTTCCAGTAGTTTTTGCAGGGTCCTGTGTGAATCTGCCAATTGAAGCTCTAGCACTAGTGCCTCCTGTTCTTCCAACCTGCAATCTAATTATGCCTATCATACTCATCTGTAGATTCATCAGCCAATTACTTTGGCAACTGACATTTGCTGTCTAATGTATCATGCTTGATTTGCTTCTAGAGTATCATGTTTATAGAATTTTTCGTGTACACGATTGTAGTATGAGAGACTACACCTTTGTTGCGTCTGAGCCAATTTGTTTGTAAGTCAGTTCTCTTTAACTTTATAGAGAGAGGATTTATTATTTAAAATTTTCTCTTTATAGATATAAATGTCTTCCTTTTCTGTATTTCTACGTTTCTGTAGTCTTTCCCAAACTCATAACAAAATGCATTCGAGGAGGAATATTACGAAGGAGGTTAAAAATTTTCTTTGGCTTCTCTTCCTTGAGAAAAAACTGAATACGAATGAGAGGGTGCAAAGGTTGTTAAGAGATTTAGCATCACCTAGAGCACCCCATTATTGGCAAGAGTTGTTATGGACAAAGCTTGTTAGGTCACTACCTCAAAAGAAGAGCAAGAATTCTTTGAAACTGGGAAGAATTCGGATAGACATAGTAGAGTTTTCTAAGATGTCCACAAGGGGTGGGGATTCTGAGGAGGGATCCAGTAATCGGAAATGTCGAGTTATTCACGATTTAACTTGATACTAGGGAGTTACCCAATTTCAAAATGATTAGCGACCCGTTGCTGAAAGCTGGATAGATTTCAGGTGAGTATATTCTTGGTGCATCTTCATCTTTTTTGATATGAGGCCCTTTTTTTCTGGAAGGTTTTAGTTGTATGTACTTCAAGGTATATTGGTTAAAGGTGGTTGATCTATTGTTCTTGAGGTTTGCGAGAGTTACATTTTTACTCCAATCTGGTTGCCTCCTAAAACTTATATTTTCGTATGTCATTCTTGACTGAGAAAGAGGTGGTTAAGCTATTGATCCTCTGGTAAACTCATGGAACGAGTTATCCATTAACTTAATCTGCAGGATGATCATTTATGTGTGTGTGTGTATATATATGAAAGTTTACATGTTGATATGCGTAAAAGCTACTTTTTGCAGAATATTATTTGACATGACTGCCTCCCTTGTGCTTCGTGTCACAATCTGCAATAGATGGGGCGTCTCTTGAGGGACGCCCCTTTGCTTGTCATGGCGTGAGGGTCACAACCTACTCTCTTCATACTATGGTCGTGACACTTTGCACCTTAAAAACACGTTGCATAGAGGGTTTTCTTGATAGTTGAATGTGCTTTTTCAAGCAAGGATCCATTCAACCAATTATGTTCCCACCTTTTGAATGAAGTCATTGTAGTTGAATCTCCAGTTCCATGTTCCTGCTCTGATTTTAGGCCCTGGCATCCGTCCAAGCGAGAGGACTCCTGCTTTGAAAGCAAAATCAAATTTGTCTCTGCCAATGTCTGCAGCGCCCGTCAGTCCTACAACATATGCTGTCGAGAAGCAAGAACCAGCCAAAATGGATGACTCTTACATGGCTTCGTGGAGGACATGAAAGCCTCTCGTTCACTTGATGGAGAACAGAGTTCAGGGTTGGCCAAGTGCAAGAGAAAGGAGGCTCATAATTTCAACTTTTGTTCGCTGCTCGGTTCGTTCTTCGAGCCCTGCTTCTCCCTTCTCCCTCTCGCTCGATTTACCGTCGAATTTATATAGTTGGCTACTATATTGCCTGATACTGTGAAAAGTTATGAGAAAAATGTGTTTATAATGTTTAGGTGTATGATTGCTGCACCAACAGTGTACAAAAGTTGCATTCAAATTCTATTTGTTTTCTACGGACGAATTGCATTCAGTGTTCATACATGATCCGCAAACAGACAAATGAAAAGAGTGAATGATTGACTGCCAAAATTACTCTGAGCCACAAAAAATAGAGACTCATCATAAAGGAGCTCCTATCACCAAATGCAAAGATGTAAAAGTGAAACTCTGATGGCAGAGGATTGTTCAAACCAAATTTCATCGACATTGATTGATCGAAGCCAACAGAGGTGGCCTTGTCAGTTCATCCTAAAAATGGCATTTCATGAACTCCCCAAAATCCTTGTCGAACTGAGGTCTTTTCTGGGTATGAAAGAGAGACTACTTAATTACCTTTCATTTTAGAACAAATTAGTGAGGATAATGATAATCGTGAGACCCATATTAGTTCGAGAGGGGAACGAAACCTTCTTTATAAGGGTTTGAAAACATTCCTTAGAACCATGAGACTGAAAGCAATATCTAGTATCAATGAACTTGAGGTGGTACACTCAATCCAAACTCGTGATTACGATGAGATTTGAAAGCAGATTCAAGCTGTGGGTATTGTGCGTTCATTTCTCTTCATGATGAAATCCCAAAATGATTGCAACCTGACTGCTACAGAGAGCCTCAACATTAAATTCCAACATAAAAGGAAGAATCTTCAAAACAAATATATTTAATTGATCTTGCTGAAGTAAATCCAGGATTTAGCAGAAAATTGACTCATTTAGATCAGCTGCCTTTTTGCTTAGAATGGTTTATTAAGCAGCTTAACTCCTTAATTAGCAATGTTAACTTAATATCAACAAAAACCCCTCAAAAGGGTACAAGGTAAATATAGAAAACCCAGAGAGCCATGCACACCGTTGAAATTGAAAATGATATTCAGTCATCTCCGAGAGAAAAATGAAAGGGGTTTCTATTCTTTTTTGTTAAAAGCAAACCCAAAGTTGTAAACTTTGTTGGATCAACAAGTTTGATGGGTGAAAAGAAAGGACATTCAAACAGTAACCCACCAATGGGATCACAAGGGTGAGGCAGGGGAGAGGAAAACCCTAAAATTATCTTATTATTTCCCCCTTTCTTTTACATCCTTACAGGCCACAGCAAACATAAATGGTTGGGTAAGCATAAAAATTCGATCTTTATGATAGATTTATCAAAGGGGGTTGTTTGAAACACATATTCAGGAAAAGGAATTTACTGGTACGTTAAAAACTAATTCAAGGGCTCTCAAATCCAATTTCCAGGTAGTGTCCTTAGCCCTTCAATCTCTTTATTCCCCCCATCTTCCACAATTTCTGTTTCCTCTCCCCTTCTTCTGTGTTTGTTCTTTTGTTAAAATTTCCCCCATTTCGTTGTGGGGGGGAAAAGGCAAGGAAGAAAACAAACACGTTTAGCATAGAAATACAAAAACCTAACTCTTTCCCTTGAATGATGGTTTGGACCTTTGGTCCTCCATCTTCGTCTTTGCGTTTCTGGGTTCTCAGTTAACAATTAAAACCAACCCTTTTTGTTGTTTCTAATTCGTTTCTCTTTCAAATGCAAATATCCCCAACTGGGTTTCTTTTACATGTAATCTTCCTTCTTTAACTCGCTTTGTCGTTCGTGATCTGGCCGACTATGTCGCAAGATTCTTCTTCTCCTCCGATCCCTTGTGACCGATCCTCCCCTGAGCCACTTTCCCACATCGAAAACCCCAACCCCAGAACGGCTAACGACGGCCTTATTGCCGAGAACGAGCCCACGACCACGACCACAACGACCAACAGTGAACAGCCTACCACGAGGAGGAACCGACCCTCTCGCGCTTGCACTATTCGTGCTGCCGAGCGGCTGTTGGCGGCTCAGTCAGTGGTCGAGCGGAAGCCGAAGCCTAAAAAGGAGCAGCAAAACGACGAGTCTCCAGAGCAGCAGCAATGCAGTAAGATCGTGACGCCGCTGGTTGAGGAGCCTTCGCCCTCACAGTTGCCGCGTTGGAGCCTCCGGTCCAAGTGGGAACTGGCGTCAGTACTTAATTTCTTGCATGTAAGCTTCGGCGAGTTATGTCTTCGTCACCAAATTTTGCATATTGCTGCGTTTATGACTTCAATTTTTCTTGTGCGAGCTGCAGGTCTTTAGGCCATTACTGAATATTCATAATGAGTTCACAGTGGAGGAGTTTGAGACGGCCTTGATTGCACCCAACGACACTTTGAGTGACATACACATTCCATTACTAAAGGTTCGAACTTGAATTTTAACTCCAAAGTTTGTGCTGAGCTTGTGGTTTTGCGTTACTTCTCTGATTGATAAAAGAGTGTGCGTGAATTATTCATGATGAAAATTAGTCTTTTGCAAGTGTTTTTATTAGACTGGGAATGCTATTGTTGGATTTTCTTTTCGATGTTTTGTTCGATTAAAAACAACTTTTAACTGTTATATTGTCGATTGCTTTTATGCTAATGTATTGGCTTGGCTCGTAAAATGCTCTCGTGTGTGCCGGGTAAATCTATTAATACTTCGAAACTGTTGGGTGGATATGTATTGTAGATGATTAGCCATCCCATTTTTTGTTGCTAGCCTTCTGATGTTTAGAGCTTTTCTAATTTTTTGGAAAACGAAAACTTAGAGCTCCTGATGAATTAAACAATGTCGATTAATAACTTGCTCACCACAGTTTTAGTTTGTCAGGTGGATTAAGCTTTTTCCCTTCTTGTTGGCTGCTAGATGATATTTCAATATTTAGTTCTCAGAAATGAACTTTAGTTATTGAAGTACGGCGCATGGCCCGTTTGCATGCTCAAAGCTCTTTTCTCGGATCATGTGTTCAAGGCCCTCACCATCAAAAGGAAGTGTGAGTTCCCACATTGGTTGGAGAGGGGAACGAAGCATTCCTTATAAGGATGTGAAAACATCTCCCTAGTAGACGCGTTTTTAAACCTTGAGGGAAAGCCCGGAAGGGAAAGTGCAAAGAAGACAATATCTACTAGCGGTGAGATTGGGCTAGAAGAAACTATACTTGTCTTGACTTCTATTATATAGTGGAGGTTACAGATCCTCGTCTATTTTCTCAGACCAATTGAATCGGGAAATTTATGAAAGTCATGACCTCCTTGGGTGCCACATGTTTTTTTTTTGCTTAGCATCATGTTACTTCGATCTGAAAATTTTACCCTTTTGTTTTGTTCGTATAATTTGTTTTTCGGTAATCAATGGAATATTTTATCCTTAGATCAAGTTGCCACCACACCTCTATGTTAACCTTGTTATCTAATGCAGACTTAACTATGTTGCTAGTTCATTTGAAAATGTGTTTCTCTTGCTCTCAACAAGAGCTCCCTATAACTTTTACTCTGTTTTTCAGGCAATTCCTCCTATTACAAGAATGGCCCTCACTCGGGATACGTGGGTGACTGTGTTGTGCAGAAAATTGCGGGACTGGTGGCACTGGGTATCTACCCTATTGTTCTTATTTAGCCATATATTCCTTTCTCGTGGCCGTCGTAGAATACTATATTTCCAGCTTCCAATCTGAACCACAGTCCTTGGTCTATTATGCAGGTTGCTGAAGGGGATCTGCCTATCGTCGCTTCACACGGGTGAGTACTTACAGGTTTCCTGTCCCATATACAATAATGTTCTTCATTTTCATGTGCCTAATCGTCGTGAGTGTTCAGTGTCGAAATAGAAGTTTATAAAACTCTTGATCCTGGGATGCGTGTGGTCATCTTGAAAGCGCTATGTGACATTCGAGTGGAGGTACTGTTGTTTTCTTAATAACATCAAATTTTTTATTCATTTCCTTTTTCTCTGAGCTTTCAAGTAATCAGGGTTTAAGGCATTGCTATTCATTTTTGCTCTTTTGTTTGTTGCAGCAAGAAGATATCCGGAGCTACATTGAAAATTCATTAAAACATGGAGTTCAACTTTCAGCATTTCGCAAAGAACGAATCGGTGGAGATTCACATGGAACTTATTTCTGGTAATGTAGTTTTGTTTTAACCTCATCATATTGTGGCATGTTTTTTTTATGGTACAAAAGATCCCGACTTTATAAATGCGTTATTTTGTGTGTTGACCATGTGGCAATTGTTATTGCAGGTACGAAGATGATCCCATAATTGGTCATCGTTTGTACCGTGAGATTAGGAAAGTCGAGTTGAAAAAAGCCAAGAAAGGTTCACAGGTCCTCCCTTGTACAACATATCAGTGGGAATCTGTTGCAACCAGTTTTGATGAATTTCAAGATGTATCAGTGAGTCTCTAAACTTGATGAGTTTCCATTACTCACTTCTTGTTCTTTTTCCATCTTTTATCGGATGAGCTTTGTTCATTTCCTTTTCTGTTGTGTATACCATTTAATGGTTGTTTTCTGGCCACCGCTTCATACCGAATCGTTGAACTCTGTGATCCAATATCTTGTTAGAACTTCTTTCTATGATGCTGCAGGAAAAGCTTTTCACAAGTAAAAATCGATCAGAGGCTTCACTTGGGAAAAAGTTGAAGATGGACATGCTTCCCGAGATCGAGAAAGTTCATAAGGTACTTGGTCCATTACGACTTACGAGTGCTGCATTTACTTGGTCGGATGTGATTTTATCCTCAGATCCTTGCTTATTCTTGCTCAAGTGCTGCATTTACTTATTCTAACAGAGAAAAGAAAGGTTGCTGAAAAAACAGCATAGACAAGCTCTTCTCTTGGATAATTTTGCACTTGTCGACGGGCTTGGTCCAGGACGCTCACTTCGTGACAGAAAACCCGTCACTTATACTTTTGGTATGCCGATTTTAGTTCGGTCTTTGTTCTTTTGTTTTCGGGAAGTTTTTAGCTATTTTATTTCGTGTTTTTTATACGCTTTTTCTATGTTCAGTTTCTATGAACTGAAACAGGCAAAATCCTGATATGCTAATATCCCAATGCTCATTTTGCAGATGATTATGACCGATCAATCAATGAGGCTATCAAGACAACCAAGTATGGATTTAGTATCTTTCTCCTTTACTATGAGATCCTCATCTTCTCTCTAGGCCTTATAGTATCATCTTCTCTCTTGTGTCAGGCGTAAGCCACCATCTCCAGAACCTAATCATAGAAGAGAAGCTGCTGTAAATCTTGAACCTTCTGCGAACGGAAAATGGAGCAGTCCGTCATTTGCGTCTCAAAACTTCAATTTCAGTGCACTATCTCCCAAGTCGCCTGATTATGACGACATCGATGAAGACCATATGTCCGAACGGTTGGATCGCAGGTATAGAACATGGGAAACTTTGTGTTTCTGTTACCTTAAACTATTACCAGGTTCGTTCTAATTTGTCGATTTTACATTTAGCAATAGGCGAAGACAAAGGCCACAACGGTATTCAGAAAAGGATTATGTGGAAGCATTATCAGATAATGATGCAGATTTCGACAGTGATGATGACATAGTTGGTGAAGCTGTATACGACGAGGAGTATTTACGAAAACGCAAGCAGAGGAGGAAGACATCGAGCAGTTCCGAAGGAGATGAGGAGTATCACTATGAAGAGGAAAACGAGGAAGAGGAGGAGGAAGAAGAAGAGGAATCGTTGAGCATTAGTGAAGATAGCGACCAGCCACGAAAAGTAAAAAAATTGCCAGGACGTACACGGAGGGAAACAAAGTTAAGGTCGTCTGGCGAGATTCAGTCCGGTCTTAGACGTAGTAGAAGGGCGACTCGAAGCAAAATAAATTATGGACAATATGATCTATCAGAATCTGAACCAGAGAATAATAAAGTTAAAAAGACCAATGCCAATGCGTCTGATGAGCACACAGATGCTAGTGAGAATGAGAATGGGGATTATTCAGTTGAAAGTCGAGAGTCTGACAACGAAGACGACGACGAAGAAGAAGACAACGACGACCAAGAAATGAAAGTCGATCAACCTGATGAAGTTTATGCAGAGAACATAGGGGAGAAAAATCCTCCTCCTGAAAAGTCGAACGGCCCAGATCAAGATGAAACCGATGGGGCATCAAAAAGACTTCTCGACCTAAATGAGCTTGCTCCCGGCTCGGGTTTCGAGGATGCTCCAACCATAGAAATGAAAGATGATACAAATGAGTTCTAATAGTTTTCGCTCGTGAAATCGGAGTGTACGATAATAGTAAAGTATAAATTTTGTGGTAAGCGCCTGCAGAAGATATTAGCATCGGAGTTCCTTCTTCCTCAGGCAAATTGGAGCAGTCAGTCATCTTGGTGCAGTTAGTGCAGCAAGGAGCAAACGGATGATGATGTTAAGTTGATAGATTAGAGAGTCCATTTTTTTCTTAGTAATGTCCACATTCAATGAAAACCCAACAAAAGGATGGAAGGGGAATTTGTTTGGTGTTTCTATACTTTTTACCCATCATTGTACAATAGCCTTTTGATATTAATATTGCAACCCAAAGAGTTGGGTTTTAGATGTATTATGATACTCACTTTAAATCGCCCTCTACATATAATGGGTTGGATGGGTCTGCTGCTTATATTATTACTTAGATGCAATGCACATGACTGAGTATTAAATACGAGCAATTAAAAGAATGGTTAACCGAATAATTCACCTGATTCAAACCTGCTCGAAATATTCTTGGAGAGAGTCAGAAAGACACAGAAAGGTCATTATTTCTAGTTTCTTCTTAGACTGTGTTGTTGACGTAGATGATGCGTGGAGGTCCATGCTTTTCTTGCTTCCACACTTATCATACCTCCTAAACAATATCATTTCTTCCTCCCATTCCCTTTAAGGATCATTTTCAAACAGGGTTTTTTAAGTCTAAGTTCGCCCCTTGATTTCATATTCCCGTTAGTTTTCTTTTTGTGACATTTTTTGATGTGTTTAAGGACGAACGGATAAAATATGGTTAGAATTCCTTGCTGTGACAAGCTTAACCTCAAAAGGGGTCTTTGGACTGCGGAGGAAGATGCAAAAATACTCGCTTATGTATCGAAGCACGGGACGAGTAATTGGACCTCTGCTCCAAAGAAAGCAGGTTAACACTTGAACTTCTGATGATTTTGGTTGATTTTTTATACATAGATGCTCCTGTGAACTTGGATACTGTGTTTGAGATGTTTCATAGGATTAAGGAGATGTGGGAAGAGCTGCAGACTTAGATGGACCAGTTACTTGAGGCCTGATCTTAAGCATCACAACTTCACACCACAAGAGGAGGAATTGATTATCAGGCTTCATGCAGCAATTGGTAGCAGGTACATTAGCAACTTCCCCATGGTTTCTCAATATATCATCAAGAAGGTGTTGCTTAAGAGGACTAATGACCTCTATTTTGTGTTATTCTTGTGCGTGAATGCAGATGGGCTATAATAGCTCAGCAGCTTCCTGGAAGAACTGATAATGATGTGAAGAATTACTGGAACACGAAGCTGCGAAAAAAGCTTTCTGAAATGGGAATTGATCCAGTTACTCACAAGCCATTCTCCCAAATCTTAGCTGACTATGGAAATATTGGTGGCCTCCCAAGATCCACCAATAGAATTGGGTCTCTCAGTAGAGATTTGAAAACTTCACCCTATATGAAGCCAAATTCAGCTCAAGAACTCTACAGAGGCATCGATGTCAGCATGTCGACGCCGACGATGCTATTGCCAGAAACTGAACCATCCATAGACAAGTTCATGAATGGCAACGTCCACCAATTGAACATCAACCCTTCTTTGAATCTTCTGGCTCAGCTGCAAGCAATGCAGCTGGTGACAGAAGCCTCACATTGCACTTCCAATGAACCAATCCAACCCCATTTCAATACTCAAGGCTATTTACCATCTTCATCTTCTTCTTCTTCCTCAGCCTTTATCTGGCAGGATTTTCTTCTCGAAGACGCGTTCTTACCTTCTGAGCCTCGAGAACACGAAAATGTAGCTGAGTTTCCATTAAATCAAAATGCTTTCCAAACACAAAATGGAATATCAAAAGAAGAGATGAACGAAGAGAAATCTGAGTACCAATACGACAGATTTGAAGCAATGCATAGCTTGACTGAAAACGATGATGCTGAAGCTTCATCGTCTACTGAAAACACATTCATAGAAACTTTGTTTCATCAAGAGGACAACATTTTGTTCGACTTCCTCAATCTCTTAGATGAACCACTTTACGACTAACTGCCATTTATTTAGTTTTTTTTTTTTTTTTTTTTTTCTGATGTTGGTAATGATAATTTCCAACCAATTAAAAGTATTAATGAAAATTTTAAATATTTTAAAATAAAGTACAAATATTTTCAATAATTTAGCTATTTAACAAAAAGAATATGAACACAAACAATAATAACGGATCCTATAAATTGAAAGAAAATTGTGGGTCGCTTACATAGATTCACATTTTTTTTTTTTTTTTTTGGGGAACGTTTTTGTTTACTGGAAAATTGTAAATTTATGAAATTGGAGGGAGGGTCGTAAACGGAATCCGACATTGAGCAACAGAGTTCGAGAAGAATCCATGGTGGCCATTTCCCTTTACAGAGGGAACCTCCACAGGGTCCCCGATGTGCCTCGTCGCTGGCTTATGCCGATCCACAACATTTCTATTAGAGACTTCAAATCCCTTCTGCACCGTCGTTCAAAAGCCCTCTCTCGCCTCTTCGCCACCGCCTCTTCTTCTCCGGCTAAAGTTTCTACTTCCCCTAACTCTAATCCTATTTCGAATTCTTTAATCAAACCAGACGTTGAAGGACCTAGAAATAATGCGTCTGCTCCTGAGGTGCCATTGGAAACTGAAAGGGTTGGTGTTGGTGATGAAAGACCTTCTGCGCATGTTAAGAAGAGGAAGAAGTCGGACATTGGCGATGATTGTTTGGGGAAATCGACTGAGGGGTTTGATTCTGTGAATGGAACAAAACCTTGTTTTATTGATCAAGGTTCTGATCCAGTGGAAAATGGTGGCGCGCATTCTAACGAGGAAAATCATGCTGTATTAGAAAACCCTAACAAAGAGGTATGGATTATGACCACCTCCATTAATTTTCAAGTATGCTTGAAGTCTATCGATCTTACCTGAGTTCCAAATTTTAGTGGTCGTATGACAGTTTTTTTGGCTCGTCCTGAATTTTGGCGCGGTTGTGTTTTTGTTGTTATTATCATTATTGTTCTACATGGTGAGTTATTTTTGTTACATCTAAAATAAAGTGATTACTATTTAACGAGGCTTTCAGATGTTTGGGAATGTTTTGAGATAACCATTGTTAACTGTATGTGAAGCTTGTAAATTTTGTTGAGCGTTCTTGTTGGTATAAGAAAGTTGAGGTAGATGGAAGTAAAATCAAGAAGAGCTTCCAAGTTTCTTGTCAATATAGATCTCGTGCCTCGACACCAGCATCGGATTTCTTTCGTTTTACCTTCTCCATTAATGTGTGTCACTGTGTTAGGCAAATGAGGATTTGTTAGATGTCGAGGAGAACAGGAAAAAGGAAGTTGAAGAGAAGCTAAAAGTTTTGAATGAGACAACACATAATCTTGTGCAAGTGTTAAAACAGGTATGTTACTGATCCTTCTACCTTGCCCGTCCGCTACCAAAATCCCCTTAACTACCTATGGGATTGATAAGTGAAGTAGGTCATTTTCTTGGTGTTGGTTGACAGATCTTCCATGTGGAAGAGGAAGTAAAAAGGCGTAGGAGTTTGCAAGGGACAGAAATTCGCGCTTCTGCTCCTCCTCTTCAAGTGGATGCCTCAGCCGATACGGGGTCGATGACCAGACCGCTTGCTCCTAGGGTAGCCACAGAAGTGAATGCTAATGGAGATACTGAAGGTGGAGAAGCTGATGATCTTTTGAACCAGAATGTTCCTTCAGAGTCTCCTCTTAGAAGGCCTGCCCACATACAACCTAATATGGTAATTGGTGTCACTATGACTTCCGTCGATTTCATTATAGCTTTATATGAGTTCATGATCAGTATCCTTGTTTTGTTGACTTTATGAGTGATTTTGCCTCTGGAACGTAAGAATAATTTTTATTGATATTTTAGTCATTTGAATCACTGAACTTGCTCATACAAGATTTTATTTCTTTCTTGTGGGGGTGAGGGGTGGCCAGGTAAGAATGTACAGTTCCCATGACTTATTACAATGTTCATAAGTAGCATAAATTGAGAAAGGAAAAAAAAAATATAATCAAAGGGCTCAGTTGGAGGATGTGAGATTCCACATCGGTTGGAGAAGAGAACGAAACATTCTTTATAAAGGTGTGAAAACCTCTTCCTAGCAGACGCGTTCTAAAATTTTGAGGAGAAGCCTGGAAAAGGACAATATCTGCTAGCGGTGAGCTTGGGCTGTTATAGAGATGCTTTTGAATTCTCCTTAGGAAGAAGGGCAAAGTTTTAGAATAATAGATTTTTTAGAGAGATTGAGAGGTCGGGTGAGGAAGTTTGGTGTGTGCCACTCGGCTTTTTCTCGACCATGAGCTTGGTCATGTTCTTTTGAATTGGAGTCACTTTTCTGTAGATAATCTCAGACTTTTTTTCGCCTTGTTGGAGCTTGTTCTTTTATATGGCCGGTATGAATCAATAACATTTTTAGTACCTTTAAATTCATTATAAAACTTCTTTGAAATTCCTATCAAAATTATGATCTTTTACATTAAACTATCAGCTTCAGAGTTCTAGGCGGTTCTTTGTTGGTTTGCATTCTGTGTCAGTCTAGATGTCTACCGAGAAAAAAATGTATCACTCAAGTTTAAACCATACCATCTCCTCTATGCTTGATGCGAAAAATCAAGCCTCATTCATATGTTTTTATCATTTTTCTAGTGAAGTAAAATACCATCATGTGCAGGGCTTGCATCCATCCCGAACAAATTTTAGCCTTACTGGAAGCCCGTCGTGTTTACCTCCGGCTGGGCAATCTGGGCTTCCTCCAAACCTGCCCACACTATCTGTATCTGGGACCAACTACATTGCATTCTCACATTCTCCTGCAGCATCTGGGGGCACTTCAGTTCTCAGAGATGCTCGGCAGCCTAGCCCATGGAATTAGAGGTCGTCTCTGTAATTCACATTGGTGAGTTCGTTTTGATTCTCGACTTCCTGGTTCGGCAGAGCAAAGTGAGTTCTAAGACTAGTTTCATGATGTATAGTCAGGTATGATGATCTACCCAGCTGCAAGTTTGCATTTGGGATAACTCATAACATCGTTCAACTGGTGTTTTTGTATTTTTATCAAGTGGTACAAAACTGTAAGGATGCTTGGCTCCTTCGTTTTTGACTTCTTGAACCTATTCTATTGGTATAGCCCAAACTCAATTAGGTGAAGCTGCGATCTTGAAGATCGCTCCATAAGATCAACCTAACCTAGCCCAACCTACTTAAACAATCTAAAGGCTTGACTCGGACAGAAGTAAGAAGAAAGTAAGATAGACATTGTATATCCGAAAAATTTCAATTGGATTGGATGACCTTATCCTCAAACATAGCTGTTCATGCTCAGTTTAGATTGAAGCTTAGCCAGTCCTCAGAAATTTTGTGGGTTGTTGTTTCTTGGTAATCTTTTATATGATCATTGATCATGATCAGCTGATATCTACTCAAAAACAGATTTGGTTGAGAGAACGTTTAACTGCAGCTAGAAATTAGGCTTAATAATTCAAAATCTTAATGTTAGATTTTACACTTTTTGGAGTAATACTTAACTGATTATCACTGTATGAAAACTTTCCTTTTAGAATTCCTTCGTAATATCATCCTTTCCTCTGCATGCATGAAGTATAAAATATTTTTTTTTTTTTTTTTTTTTTTATGGGTATTTCAAATTTAAAAACTAAAATAGAACAATAAATTCAGTGGTCAATTTCGATAAGGGACTGTGTCTGCAGAAGCAGTTAAGTTAGATTGACCATCAACGGCCCCATATCTCACCCACACGACTACCCACCACCCTCTGCATTCCCAAGCTCTCAATCTCACAAATCCATGGCTTCTCACGAAACTTCCTCATCCATCGACCCCAACCGTAGAAACCATCCCGCCGCCGCCTCCGTCGTCACTCTCGGCGCTGTCTCTCCCAACCCAACATCACCAAAACTAGATCCCATAACCCCTTTGTCGGACTCAGACAAGTTGTCAAAATCACACCCACCTTCCCCCAAAATGGTCGGCCCCAGAACAGTGCCAATGGTAGCCAAAAAACCCAACGAAGCCCCTCTGGAACACTCTACCACAGAGAAATTCAACGACTCTGAAGAGAAATTCGAACGCATGATCAACTGTATCACAGCCAAAGAAAGTGAAATGAAGCAGCTCCTAAAGGAACACGAACATCTCACTCGCAGGCTCTCTGTTTCTCTTTCTTCATCACGGAGTGGAAGAAGAAGAAGATCAATCTGTGGCTCACAGATTGAATTAGCAGACGTGTTTGCTAACAACGGTGTCAAAGTGGTTTCGGCCGATATGCCGCCGTTTATGCAGATCCACGCCGTCGATTGCGCTAGAAAGGCCCACGATAGTATGGAAAAGTTCACTTCCAAATCCCTTGCATTGACTCTCAAGAAGGTACACACGAATCGATTACCCAACTTTTTTTTTTTTAGAAAAAAGGGTCATTTTGTTCAGAATGTTGATTTGGGTTGGCTGAATTTGGCAGGAATTCGATGGGGTTTACGGGCCGGCATGGCATTGTATTGTGGGGAAGAGTTTTGGGTCATTTGTGACACACTCAGTGGGTGGATTTCTGTACTTCTCCATGGCTCAAAAGCTTTACATTCTGCTCTTCAAAACCACTGTACAAAGAGCCAATTAGAAACAATCAATCGCTGCTCATGTTTAGGCAGAGCAACAACTCTGTTTTTTTCTTGTTTCAACTCTGTTTAGTTATAATTTCGGCATTGATGTTCATAATCGAATTGAAGGTGATGGGTATGGCGATAATGGTGAATGGTGTGGAGTGGTAGCTGCAGTAAATGCAGATTGAGATTTGAGTATTGAGATACATTTACAGACGATAATGATTGCAGAGGCGAAGGCCCACATCATTCATTTTCTGGGTTTGGATTTATACTCTGTTCTTCAATGTTCGGACATAAGGATGTGCAGATGATAAGATTTCTTTTTCCTTTTTCTGGGGGTATTTGTTCGTTTATATCCTCGAATCCTTATTTACCATCTAATGGTTCTGATATTTACACGGCCTTTGTCTACGCTCCTAGTGAGTCGAATCTAAATTTCAAATTCTAATCGGGGATATCCGAGCATGAAAAGTTGATTGGAAAGTGGTAGGTAAGGTGAGTTATAGAAGATTCCAAATTAATGGTTAATGATAGAGTGAGAGAGAATGGCAGGGTGGGGCTGTGGGAATGGTAACTTAAAGAGCTTTCTTTTTTGATAGCTCCTATTCAAAGGGCTAAGCTATGTTATCCCCACTGCCCATTCAAGGACTCTGACTGACTCATCATCAACCCACTCCCCACACCCTAACCCACCCATGGTTATATAGTAACCTAAGCTTATTGACCAAAGTTGAGCCAAATTTTAAATTTATGTCTTTGCTAATTATTTAGTTTTGAAATTCGTGTTTGTTTTTGCAGGGAATAAACATATATAAGCTAATTTTTTTTAAAATTAGTATTCCTTTTAATAGAAATTTTATTTTTTAAAATTGTAAGCTTAATTTTTAAATAAATAAACTAGTAAGTAATACATATGTATTTAATGCTGAAGTTATTTTATTTTTTTTTATTAATTTTTTAAAAAAATATATATTTTTTTACTTAAAAAGGAAAAAGAATTGTTTGATGCCACCTCAGCCTGGAATTGGGTTGGGCCTGTGGGAGTTTTAAAGTCCATTTGGGCCGAACTATGGGCTTGGGTCAGAATATTTCAACCTGGGGAATCAACAAGATTAGGGTGACAAGTGGCAAAGCAGACAACACAGGGTGGATGTGGAAAGATGAGTAATGAATCAAAAGCTTGCATTTTTTATAGCATCAAATTGGAAGTATCTGTATGGAAGGTAAGTGCTAAACCAACTTTCTGAATTTGGTTTAAATTTTGAAGTATTTTATCATCTTATTTGGACATGACAATGATTTTTGCTTTATTTGGCAACTTTACCTAAGATTCAATTTATACACTTTTTAATAAGCCTACCAAATACTTCAATTTCAAGTCGATTAAGACACGTGTCAATTAATTATTGATACCCCACCGGAAGATATTTCTTGAATAAATTTTATTCAGTAACTTCTTCCACCTAATAATTTAAAACATGTTTGGAAGGGATTATGAAATGATTAGAATCTTCAACTGTATTATTTGTTTGTTGTTTCTAAGAGTTATTTTAACATGATTCTTCCTAAAAATCATCCAACATAGAATTTCTCTGAGTAAACATACTTAACTTTAAAGTTCTACGATTGAATCACCGAAAAGGAATGTACATCTTATCGAGTTAGGTAGTAACTTGGATTCTTTTAAGTTTTTCTCGACAATACCGGAGAAAAAAGAGGAATTAGTCACTTTGGAAGGCAATGAAGATGAGAAAGGGAAGTGGGGTAAGAAACCATGTAAGGAAAGCTTAAAAGATTCTTTATGGGTATCAATTACTTGGGTATGGCTCAATATTCATTTATGTGCTAACCAAGTTAGGCCTTGACAGTGCCCTTCGGCCATAACTTTGCTGCACAATCCAATTTCATTTTCTCAACTTCAAGAGCTACAGACATAGCGTTAGGCAATTGATAGATAGTTCTCAGAGAGTTGGGAGCTATCTCAACACATATGTAGGGAGGAAAAAAGCAAAGTCTCGTCCCTGCCAGTTTTCTTTAGTAAAATGTGAAAGCACTGAAATGAAAAGGGTGGTTTGGATGTCTGATCGCTTTCGGCCTCATAAAGCTTCGATCTTTTCACTCATCCTTTGGGTCAAACATTACAGGTGAGAAAGAGAGTGCAGTGGCGCCACCGCTGCCAAAAACATCCGCCTCTCTCTCTCTCTCTCTCTCTCTCTCTCTCTCGGACCCCGTCTGAAAAGGCTACTTCTTTCCCGCCCTTCACTTCCCCGGCCCCCCCAAACTGCTTCATAAATAATCTCTCCGCTACCTACACTTCCACTCCAATTGGGTATCTCTATCTTCAATTACAGACTAGAAATCTCCTCGATTTCTTATTGGGTGTCCCAAATTGACATCTGATTTGGATACCTTGCGAATGGATCTTCCACTTGTTAACGAATCATCCTTCTCCGCTGCGAATCCTTCTGCTTACAGCTTAGCCGCGATTTGGCCTTTCGGGGGGGAGCAGGGCGGGAACGCATTGGGTCTCCGAATGGCTAGTTTGAGTCAGAATCTTGGTGGGTTTCCCGAGAGCTCCACGAATCGGGACGGATCAATGGAGGAATCGACTGTGACGGAGCAGAGTGGCGGTGGGAGAAAGAGGAAGGATGTGAGCTCCGAGGATGAATCTTCGAGAATGGTTTCCACTAGTAGTGCTAATCAATTGGTTAGTTTTCATTTCCACTTCTTGTTTTTCTTCCTCAAATCCCTTTTGCTCTCGATTTGGCTACGTTGACCCAATTTTGTCCTCCTTGGAAAAATTTGTACACTGTTAGTTCAGTCTTTCACTGTTGAAAGGTGAAACTCTTTTTCTTTCTTTTTTTGATGGGGAGGAGCTCCCAAGGAAGAGAAAACAGCTAATAATCTTTATAAACCATTCTTGTTGCCCCTCTCTGCCAAGATTACCAAGAAACTTTCCCAAATTATGTATGCAGATGTTTAAAACTTGGACTGCTGATCATATATCTCGACATTGGCTACCTGCATTCAAGCACTTTTGTCTTTGAATTCTAATAACTTGGCCTATTACTGACTTATTAATCAAGATAGTAATCACCACTCCATTTCATACAGAGTAACTCAAATGGTAAACGGACGAAAGTGGTGGCATCCAGAGATGAAGGTGGTGGTATAAAAGCTGAAGTAGAACCTAGCTCGGCAGATGGTAAGAAGCTGGCCGAGCAAAGCCGGAAACCCGAACCACCAAAAGATTACATCCATGTCAGAGCGAGAAGGGGCCAAGCTACTGATAGCCATAGTTTAGCAGAAAGAGTAATGTACTTTTCTCAGCTATTTGGAATTCAAATATCTCAGACAGTTCTTTGCATTCTGTCTAACAGCTTCAAGTTTCTGGTGGAGATTTGGAATGTTTATCTATCAATTTATCCCTTCCTCCCAAAGTTTTGCCTGTTTGTCTTACTATACCCATTTGTGCAGGCGAGAAGAGAGAAGATCAGTGAGAGAATGAAAATTTTGCAGGACTTGGTTCCCGGTTGTAACAAGGTAAGTATCCTGCAGTTCTTTAACGGAAGGGAAAAAAATGCTAAATCTAATTGACATGGAGGATGTAGAAGAGAGAGTACAACAACCCAAGCCTATTACTAGCAAATATTATTTTTTTGGGTTTTTACTTTCGAGCTTCCCCTCAAGGTTTTTAAAACGTGTATGCTAGGGAGAGGTTCCGATACCGTTATAAAAACCGACGTGGGATTTCACAGTAAATTTACTTCTAAACATTAACGATAGTTGCAGCATAGCCATCACCATTGTATCCAATAAGCTTTCCTTCAAATCTATTACATTCTTCGTTCTTTCTATATCTGTAAAGTCAGGAGCTAAAGATAAGGAAAGAAATGAGAACTGCAGTAGATGAAGAAAGCCACCGAGAGGAATTAATATAGAAAAAGGAAAACTTGAGAGACGTTCCCATTGGAGTGTTCTAAGAAAATTAAGAACAGAACACCAGAACAAAGCTAATCTATCTATGAGTTTGGTTGCAGTCATTGAAAATCAAGTTCATAATATAATTTTTCTTTATTGGTATTTTCCTCCTGTTAGGTTATTGGAAAAGCACTTGTTCTTGATGAGATAATAAATTATGTCCAATCACTGCAACGTCAAGTCGAGGTACTTATTCTAATCATGGCTTTGTCCTTTCATTTCAGAACCTTTTCTCAATTTAATCTGAGCTTTGAATATTTGGCTCAAATTTGTAGTTACTCTCCATGAAGCTTGAAGCTGTGAATTCCAGAATGAACTTAAGCCCAGCCATAGAAGGTTTTACCGCAAAAAATGTAAGTTTCATTTCATGTATCAAGAGAAAAACAATACAAAATGGAGTTCAATTAGTTGCCAATGGACACAGTAAACGAAGGAACAAAAAACAGATTCTTATTTCCTAAACTCTCTCTTCTAACGTTTCAGATGGTTAATCAACCATATGATACAGTTGGAATATTATATGGTTCACAAGCGGCAAGAGACTATACCCAAGGTGCGCAACCAGAATGGTTGCATATGCAGATCAGTGGAAGCTTTGAAAGAACATCTTAGACCTCAATAGGCATCTTATAATCAAATGTCAAAATTGATTTTGCTTCCTCATTCAGTTCAGTAGATATAGATTTGTTTGATCACTTGGTATCAAATACTTGTACTATCGCCCCTTTGGGGACATCTGATATACTTGGAACAATCAAATACTTGAATTATCTGCAAAAATGAACCAACTTCCAATTTGTATCTTATTGACCGATAAATCTGTAGTGCAGTTGCACTGGAGTGAACATACTAAGCTTCCCTTTCTGCTCTTAATTTTGTTTGCTGCCATGAATAGATTTGATGAATCCAAGGCTCTAATCTCTCTATTATCTTGACATTTTATGGAACAACAGAAAGAAGGCAAGTATCAAGAACAAATGAATCATATAAATATTAACGCATGACTGCCTTCTAAACGGTAAATTAATTCACATTCAGGACTATGAATGAGATTATTGTGCATGGACATAACCAGGGACAGAAAGGTTTCAATATTCAATAAAATGGACAAACTGAGGACAGAACTAAGCAAACTTGGACTTTATGCTGTTGATAACACCATCATCGACTTGGAAGGTCTTGGTCAGAATTTCGACAGGGACTGGAGGATTTGAAGCGAACAAAGTTTGAGAGACGATCACAGCCCCCGGCAACTGACTATTGAAAGCTGTGAGCAGAATTGCTTTGCTATGTCCAACATTATACTGGAAATGAACCAGTCCTCTGGGAATGATAAACATCTCCCCTTCAGTCAAAACCTTGTAATAATACACATTACTTGTAGACACAAACCCAACAAGGACCTCCCCTTTAATAACGACAACGCTTTCAGAGGCACGAGGATGCGAATGAGGTGCGTTTATTCCTCCCCGAGCTAGGTCGACACGGTTCATGGATAGCCCAAGAGTATTGAGTCCTGGAAATGAAAGAACATTTCCTTGTGTGACCCCAAAGCCAAAAGGATTATCCGTGTTGCCCTCTTTGCTCAGTCCATCAAAGAAGAAATCATCTGCAGTAACTTCAGAAACTGGCTTGCAAGGGAAGCCATTAAGGGATACAGTAGCATTTAAATCAGCAACACAGAAGTTCTGCAACGGATCGGGGTCGGCTGACAAAGAAGGATAAGGAAGAAGCAACAATATAATTAAGCAACCAAGCATGTTTACAGGTGAGCTTGTCAAGGCCATCATGGTGGCCAAGCAGTTTAGTCTCAGAAAGATAGTTAGCTCGAGATTGCTAATGAAGGTGGTTTAAGAGCGTCATTACTGAGTCCTCTTAAATATTCATCCCGGATTGGTTGCCTTCTTCAAATCTCTTTTCCCAAGCAACTATCAACGGAAAAATTAATATGATAATGAACATATAAATCTGTTGGGGAGCCTTCCAAAGCTGACCTTACAAATAATAAAATCTTAAAACTAAGATTACAAAGCCTTAATCCAAAAAAATGGTGAGGGTTAGTTGGGTTTGGACAAGGATAAAGCGACATAAAGCCAATCTTTTCATCTATTTTTTTGGAGAAAGAAGAAAAACCTTAAAGAAGTAGGTGGTGGGGTTGATTCAGTCTCATATTCAAGAACCTTGAAGCATTGACCTGGTTAGATCCCAACTTCTTTTTTACTTCTCATTGTCCAATTTTCTTTCTTCCCCTTTTTTCTATTATAACAGCACAACCACTCCTAATGAAAAGACAAGGTCTCTAGCTGACATAAGTGATTACAAAGAAAGAGTTGAGTTTGTATGCAATGGCATAGAAAGAAGTCCCCAGGAGTCGATACAATTAATAAAATTACATGTCATTCAGAGTAGTGCCTCACTTTGATAGTCATGTCTGATTAATTGTATATTCAGAACCATTACTTCCTCATGATGGCATATCTGAAATAAGTGATTCAAAAAGAGAGGGGAAAGGCGTACATTTAATCATTTAACAGCTTCAAGGATTCCAAACTCCAGAATTTCAAGGATTTCATGAAGGTAGGCATTGTTCGAGATTGATTCTCGAGTCCAGTATCATACTTTCATTCTGCGAGGATATGACAAGTAGGAAGTAAGAAACCAAAGATAAAATTGATGTCAAACAATTCTTAGCCTTCTCAGATGACAGAAATTACTTGTCCAACCCAGCTGAGCTGATGGGAATCACACCAGAAGGTGATACAAGAACATCGACTAAAACATCGTTCGGAGTGAGTGGTATAATTCCTTCATCCATTATCTGCACTGAATAGGACAGTGCAACTGCAAAATCATGACAACTGAGCTAAGTGAAGTTGCAGGGCAAGGTGACGTGAAAGAGGAAACTATGGCGAGGTTAAACTAAAAAGAAGAGAGATTACACACATACCAAGGAGGGGCTGCTTCCAATTCCGCACCTTTGCAAGTTCTTGGTAATTCTTAAGGAAGGTATCGTAATAACTATTATCATAACATTTGTCGGATAAGATTCATTGGCAGTGTATAATGTATAAGATTATACAGATTGCACATGGACCGAACTCTAAACAAACAAAGAGAAAAAAGCTAGAGGGAGATATTTTACTATCAAGATTTGGGAGTCACTGTATCTAGTTTCAACTTCAAAAATCAGCTCTAAATGTGTTAAAGTTCAGTAATAACAGCAGCAGAAAGAAACCTCAAAAGGGCTAAATGAAAATCCATACCCTCCCCCTCGGCCTAGGCGTCTTCCTGATTTATCAAATGCAAGTCCTGCAGTAATCATCATCAACATATTAACAAGTGATTTCAGTTGCCTTATGACCTATAAATAAACCCTAAACGATCAACAAATTGATATAAATATCTCACCTGGTAAGAGGAATAAATCAATGGGGTCTTTTGTCTGCATAACTGCAAAGCATAGATGTTTAAATATCAACTGCGTTACATTCAAGATGCAGAGCTGGATTATGTCAAATCATTTCTCGGTTAAGAACAGACAAAAACAAGGAAAAAGAGACCATATGGATAAGAATAATGTTTGGTTGATATCAATTATCATCATACGAGTTCTGTTATAATACGTGCCAAAGCAGACTCGTGTCTCAGCATTCCCCACCTTCGAGGAACAGCCATATATATATGGTGAACACCCTCCTTATTTTTCTCTTCATTTCTCTCATAAACAACTACGTCCGACCAATTATTTTCTATCTTAAAACAGCCATGATTCATTTGGTACCGGTAGAATAACCCATTCCAGGAAAACTTAACAATGCTATAAAAGGAATTTGACAAAACAAGTTGAGGACTTTTGGGTATCAAAAAACATTAGAAGAATGAAACAACAGTTCCATGACCTGTTGTCAAGTTCGAAGAACATCCAGGGAAGTACCAGTGGTAGTTTTTTTGTCGGAGACAAGTATTTAAGAGGTACTGGTTTAATGAATCTGTCAAAGATGCAAACCACCGAATGTTCAATTCTAGCTTACATTGAAGAATTGATAGATCAATTGACCATCCAAGACAATGAGGAATGATCTGGCTTTTTGCTGGTGATAAACAAGAAATATTTTTGATCCATGATGGTAAGGAAATAGTAACCTAGAGCTATTTGGAAAGCCATACTATTGCATTAGGCGAGACCAAGCCAAAAAAACAAAAATATTAGTAATATTACGAAGATAAATGGCTTTAAAAGTTATTTTATGCAGGCACTATACACGAGTCACGTGCATCTTTATCCCAGTGCAATATATATTAGATTGTAGATTAATCACAAAAATCACGAGTACCATCATAGAACTGGTGACGGTAGTAACTGAAAGGTGAGAGACGGGGTGAAGTATACAGTTACCATCTTCACGTTCATTTCCATCACCATCCACTGGAGCTGGTTCTAAGATATTCATTGAATTTGCAATAAGATCATCCATACGTGAAATATTGAACATCCTCATGTGACTATTCTTGTCCTCCACACGCGGGACATATATCTTCTTCGAATAACCATCTTCAGATAAAAAGATAAATGTCAACATTTACAAAGCTAAACAAGATCATACTACAATCAATAACTTCCCCGAACAAAACAGAAAAGCATTATCTCGTGTCGGGGTACCAAGATGACTACATCGAGTTCAAAACATTACTTATATTCATATCACGAGCAACAATTCTTCCCATATGTATTCTGCATTCAGATCAACAACGTCAAATAGTCTCTGTTTGAATTTGAAACCATTTCCAAGCATAACGGTTATATTCTCCTACACTAATTAGTTAAATTAATCTATGGCCTAGTTTAATAACTTGTAACATGTTTTTGTTTTTGAAATTTGACTACGAATTAAAATAATACCTTGAGATGTAAACTTCAAATATGATATCTGTTATTGAGCTTTACTGTCTTAGTTGCGTCGATGTTGCCAAACGAATCCTTGAAACTTGGATTATCTCATACGCATAAATGATTAAGCGGCTAATAAGTTTAAGAACACACCTTTTGGTGGATGTTGCAGAGTCTCTGATAATATTCTCGACGTATCGACTTCCCTTAACGCACTGCAACTCACATAAGCACATAATCTCTGACTAGATTTAAACCACGGAGCTTCCAAAACGATATTCTGAATTGCATTGTCTGAGAAACAAGTATAGACCCCAATGAAAGAAGGAAAATGAAGTATTGGATTCTGTTGATTCAGAAACATCTTAAAACGATATCCAATCAACAATTCTATTACATGAACTATCATTTTCAGCAGGGGCGAAATTAATCGATGAAAATAAGTGAGTAATTGGGTACCTTCCTGTGATCTGAGGGAGGGGTCCATGGCTTTGAGGGCCTTACGAACGCTGGATCGAATAACCCGTTTCTGCTCGAATAAGGCCTTCAATTGCTCTTCATTTTCTGGTTTGATACCCTCGTTACGCGCCATTTTCGGGGACCCAGATGAGCAACGCGATAATGGACGAAGTGCTGGTTGGAAAGCTGAGGGTGGGAGGCGATTGAACAGTGAGCTAGCTGCAATGGGTAGTAGTTTATAGTTTCGGACCATCGGGGATTCGGAAATTGCCCGCCTTCTGGCTTTTGGACTCCGACCCACGTGCACTCCGGCTGGACTTCGCGGGTTCGTCAATCTAGAAGCGGTGGTCGAATTTTGAAGTCCATGTACTGGTAAATTTGTCTTGTTTCCTTGGAGAAGCTGAGATTTAATCATCAAAAACAAAATGCTCCAGTTTCAAACAAGAACGAATTGCTTCTACTTGCCACAATTTGGACTCCTTCAAATCACAGGGATGTTGTGCAGGGTTAAGATTGTGCTGAATAAATAACATTCACGGGCACCCAACATTCCACAACATCAACATCATCAAAAAGTTCACTATGAGTTCCACGAACTCTTTTTTAAACCTTCAACTGATCACACTAAAAGACACAAAATTGTGTATATCAAATTAAAATGAGTAACAACTTATATTTAGTCATGCCACATGACCTCGCTACTCTTTTTTCCTGACCTTTGGACAGTAAGTTTCTAATCTATAGGCATATGAGATTCTCTTATTCTTATTTTAAGGCTTAAAATTGTTTCCATTACTAATAAAAAACACACAAATTTTATTTTTAGGTGCTCGTGAGTGGAACAGATGTATAAGAACCGATAGTAAATACAGGTGCATACTCTTTAGTAAAAAATTATATAAATATAAACCTAAGCTCATATTGATCGTACTTAATAAATATACATAAAAAATAACCATTTATTTAAATTTATAAAATAAAATATGTCTCGAACCAAATATGATAAATAGACATCTACCCTTTATTTGATGTCTATGTTAAAATTTAAAGGTTTACGTTAAGTTCATCATTGAATATGTACCAGCAAACATCGAAATATGATATACTTTTTTATTTTATTTTATTATTTAGTTATACTATATCTTCTTAAATATAATAAAATTATAAAGTTATAAAAAGAAATGAGAGATATAATTTACTGGGTTTATGATCGTTTAATTGAATATAATTTAATTAGTTAAAGTATTAATAAAATTCATATATTTGTACTTGAAAAAAAAAAGACAATTGAATTTAAAAAAAAATCACTATTGTTATTTATTAGACCGGTTAATTCAATTATTGCGATGTGAATAAGGTATCCAAATATTAATTATATTATAAAGTATTAATAATTCAATACTGTCGCGTGACGCTTAAACCAATAATAAAAAAAGGCAAAGGTCATACCGCAACACTATAGATTATAATTGGGCTGCCTGGGACCAAAAAAAAAGAAATTTTCTTCTTCCATTAAGAAAAAATGATCGCATATATATTTTTCAAAAAATTTAAAATACTTCAAGGAGATTTCAATAGCAGTGGGTCCCGGATGCAGGAATAGATCCAGTCGGACGCCACGTGTCATAGATTCTCTACGGCATTCGTTGTGTACCTAATGGTGGAGCCGTTGACTGAAGGGTAAACGGGAGATCAGACGGCTGAGATACTGGCTTCTACCCGGAGGCTGATCGAACCGGAAGGGCCCTTCCCAGGTACCCAATCCCAATCCTCTCTCCTCAGAAGAGCTCCACAGGGGGCGCCAAAAAAATAGAAAGAGAAGAGAGAGAAAAACCAAAGCTTCTGTGTCAAATAGAAGAGGGAAGAAGAAGAAGAAGAGCAATAAAAATAATCGACAAAACACTGAGACGGATTAACAGGCGAAGTATTTGAAGAGCTTGAGCTGCGGTTCGGACTGGTTCTTGGGTCAAGCATGGAGCTTCAGAACACAGTGAAGGAAGCCCTAAACGCACTGTACCATCACCCTGACGATGCCTTCCGTATGCAGGCCGATCGGTGGCTTCAAGACTTCCAGCGCACTCTTGATGCCTGGCAGGTATTGGTTTCAATCACTTCATTGCTTTTTGGGCAATAGATTTCACTTGCTCGATTGGAAAAAGTGGCTGANTGGACTTTGTGATTTGCGACTTTGATGATTGGCTTAGTGTTCTTTTGTTTATATCTCGCCTAATTCTATTGAAGAAGTAGAGTTGGGGG